GCATCCCTAATAGATGGCTTTGTAGCCTCTGGTTGAATAACTCAAGTGAAGGTATTTCCACCACCTTCAAGGCAGTCGATTTAACTGTTGAACAGATCTTTACTGTTACAGAGTTTCTTGTAATGGGTGGCCAAAATCTGCTTCCTTGCTATTTTTGTCCATTGGTTCTAGTCCTTCTCTGCGAAGCAGCAGAGAGCAGCTGTGCTTTGTCACCTGCCTGAGAACTCTTGTCATCTGCTCTCTCTGTCCCTTTAAAGCTTCTCTTCTCCAGGCTTAAACAGAACACAGGTTTCAACTGCTTCTTGCAGGACTTGGCTTGAAGAACCCTTGCCATCCCCGTTGCTCTTCTCCGGGTTCTCTCCCAGAATTTGCCAATGCTGTTCTTAAACTGTGGAACCCAGAAATGAAAAGTATACTCAAAAGTGTCCTAACCAGCACAGAACATAGTAGAGCTGTTGCTTTTCATTATTTGGTCATTATGATCCTGTTAAGGCAGTCTAAAAGTGCATTATTTGTTTTTAGCAGTAACATCACACTGCTGACTCATATGTAGATTGTAATCCTTCAAGATCATTTTCACAAGCACTTGTGCCCTTGATTTTTGTAGCCACCACTTCACTGGGGTATCTTCTGGAAGTATCACCAGGTGATAAGCTGAGAACTTTTATTTGATAGGCTCATGTTTTAGGAAACTTTCCAAGTCAGGTTCTTTTTTTAAAATTCTTCAGATTGTCGTGTTCATCATCATTGTCATCATCATCAGCAGCAGTGAGATACTGAAAATAAATCAAGGTTTCTACTAGGAACGTAGTAGTCCGAAGCAGTGAGGCATTTTTGTGTCATCAGTGCTGTATACTTCTTGGTAGTTACTTCTGACGAAGTAGCAGGCTTTGAACTGTGTCCTGGTTCTGGAGACTACCAGATTTCATAAGAACGTAAGATAAGCCCTATTGGATGAGACAAAGTGCAGCATGGGGTTCTCATAGTAGAACTTGTAAGTTGCAGCCTGACTGAGTTGCATCTGACCCTCGGATGCTTGATTAATATAGTTGCAAACCAGACCATTAGACCAAAAAAACACAAATATGTTTGATGTATCAAGATGATTCACACTCTTGTTGGCTATGTTGGAGAGTCTGAAAAATGAACCATTTAATTTCTGTGCTTCTCATGCTTGCAGTTTCAATGTATAAAGCTGCCGGTAATCCAGTGTCTCATTTGTCAACAGTATATATTTTGGATTCTTCTGCTGCAATGTGGATTAAACATAGCTTGGAGAAATTATCCTTGGCCAGTGATCAGTTTTAGAATAGCAAACATTAAGTTTCAGAAATGAAACGTAAGACCTATAGTTTTGAAAGTGAAAATAACTTGCCCCAGTCGTTTATATAAATTGTATATAACCCCCCTTAATTCAAGTGTTTTATTTCTTATACATATTCTTTCCTTCAATATTAGTTCATATGCCTTGTGTAAACATCACTTGGGAGTGCTTCATACTGATTGCATTCTCCACTTGAAGATGGACTATCCTGCGGTTGTTCATGTTTATAGGTTCTATTATCTACAATCCATCTTAATCAAGCTATTGCATTTCTGCTGTGTGAAGCAGTCCTTTCAAATAGTGATCTATAACTGATACAGATATGATACAGATAACCTGTTTGAAGATGGCAGTAGCAACTTTTAACTTAGTCTTAATGGAGTTTAGTCCATCATAGCATACTACTCAAGAGATTTGCACCCGCTTTTGAGTTAATGTCAGAGTTTTTCAGAGTTATCTGCCATGCACAGTGTGGAAGGTTGCACAGCACCATCTAGGCCATGGGTCCTCAAACTACGGCCCGCAGGACGAATCCGGCCCGCCATGGCCATCCATCCGGCCCGCACCGCTGCTCGCTGCTCGTGCGCGCGCTCACTTGCTCACTTGGAGATGGTCTCTGAGCGAGCGAGCCGCCACCTGCCTCCCATATGCGCGTGCTCACCCCTGCCTCGCAGTGCGGGTGGGGCGGTGGTGGCTTGCTCACTCGGAGATGGTTTTGGACTCGCTGGGAGATCTCCAAACAAGCGAGCCACTGCCGCGTGCGCCCAATGCCACCTTGTGCACGCCTTACGGCACCTCACCGGCCCATGACTGTCACCGCAGCCTTTCAACCGGCCCCCTCTTGAAAAAGTTTGAGGACCGCTGATCTAGGCTGTGTACACTATTTGTTTCTACACTGTTTCCATGACAGTCTGTTGCTTAATAATTTCTAGTGACTGCTGAGTAGCATTTTCATTACTAAATTTTCCATGTCCTAACATAAAGTGGTGACATATAAAGCAAAGTGAAGCAAAATAATGCAATATTTTAATAAAATCCTTTGAAAGTGGAGATGTCTGAGCACATTGTAACGGCAAGTACTCTTAGACATTCATTGAGTGAAGTAGAAACTGATAGATAAAAAAATAGATACGACACAGCACTTTACATCAAATTATAAAGCATAGTGGGGTGTGTGTGTGTAAAGACTTCCTAGATAAAACATGCCCTTCAGTGAACACATGAGAGCATACGGCACAGAATAGTGCCACTTGTACACTGAGCCAGGACCAATCAGAAACAGGCAAAACTTCAAGCGGAAGCATTTCGATTTTTAACATCTATTTATGTTTCAAAATTTACACATCAATAAACTTGATGAACTTGAGTTGATGGAAGAAGAGATGTCTGAAGAAGAGATGTCATTGTGCAGACTTCTCTGTTGAAGTGGCAATAGTGTACAGCAGCCTTTCTTAAATGGGAGTTCCCCAGACCCTAGTGTTCCCCAAAAGGTAGCTTGGGGTTCAGTGAGAGATAATGAAATGTGTGTGTATGGAGGAGGAGGAGGAGGAGGAGGAGGATTACAATCGAATGCCACTTCATAGCCCATAGGGCTCTCTGGGTGGCTCACAATAAAACAGAAGCAATGCAAATTCATTTACAAAATATAATACTATAATCAAAACAATAATACAAAATACAATATTAATTATAGAGGCAATGCAGAAATCAAAACAGAAGTACTTGCCTATCCTTACACTAGGACCTTTCCTCATATCTTTTAACAAGGGTTTGCAAGGGTTTAGAAGGAAAAAAAATGGTAGTGAGAATCCTTTTGACCGGCTGGACTGCTGCTTTCTGTGTGCTTCCTGCTCATCCTTTCTTTCTGATTAGCAGTGTCCAGTCTTCCAGTGTTTTGGAATGGAAATAATTTGACATTAACATCCCCCCACACATACACACCAGTTATTTTCTTTAGGAAAGGGTCAGGAAAAGAGGTTTGCATAGTAACAAAAAACACCAGTAGCTGAAGTAGGGTTGTCTTTTAGTGAGAAACAGCTTAATGTTGTTATTTTTCCCAGAACACTACACTTTGCATTTTTTACGGTGAAAGATATGGAGAATGTGTTGTTGTGTCTGCATTCATATATGCATGTAAAAGAAATGATGCATCAATATAGCAATATTATAGGCAAATGACATGTTCTGTTGTGCATTATGAGTGAGAGCTGGAAGATACTGAGCTTTTAACAGTTCTTGTTTGCTAAATATAGTTTCAAAAATTGAATCAGCAGTAAAAGATGTACGTCTTCAATAGTTCAGCTAGAAAATACAGATTTCATGTATTTAAATATTCTCAAGAAGTTTCAAACTATAAGGATAAGCTGGGGATTTCTTCTGTTCATTCCTTGCAGATGTGCTGACATGTTTATCTTCCTTGCCTTCCAAATAATTTTTCTGTTTTTATTTTATTTTATTTTCTGCTTCTTGGTAAAGGAGTCAGTCACTGTCAACATAAAGTAAAGAAAGCCAGGCACTTTTTCCCTTTCGTCTTCTGTTCACATGAATCACCACCGAAGGGTACTGCACTGCTGCATTTTAGGCTGCCTGACTAATTCCAAGCTGAACAATACTAACCCTTTCAAAAGTTTTGTTCACCTGAGGCTGGAGCATGATTGTAAGCAGAGTTCCAAGAATTAATCTCTCCGAAATTTTGGACTTCCACACACCGATCCTTCCCCCACCCTTTGGTCCCTCAGTAAGTCACAGGAAATACCTGCAGTGTTGTGGATGATGGAGCCTTTGTAGCAGAGTGCTATGGAGGCATTACAAGTATAGCCAGTGGCGATGCTCTCCAAACCCTACACTCAGTGGCCTGCTTAGGCCGACGCATTCTTGGACCCCTGGTACAGCATGCAGTGGAATGTGATAGAATAGCCACTGTGAAAGTATATTGAGTTAACTTACATTAGTCAGTGATGGGGGCAATGCTGGCTGCTGCGTGTAGAACAAAGGCTTGTGCAGGCATTACTGTTTGGCATTTTCTTTGGAATAGATGGAATCTATTCCCTGTTAGGGGAGAGAGGAGACCTATTCTAACACATGAATATCTCTGAAAGAAGAAAACCAAAGCACAGCTAGCCTGGCATGTGGTAAGCATACATCGAACGTGCCTCTATTGAATAGATACTTGCAGCATGGCACCTTTTGGTATGCTACATAGAATGTTTTGTGTTGTGTTGGTGTAATAAAATACAGAATAGGAATGGTATTTAGTAACTTAAGCCTCAAGGTTGTTTGCATGTAGGCTTAATTCATTCTTTGGTGGGACAGGTGGGGTGGGGTGGTAGTGGAAGCTGAAGCCATTGCTGTTACAGTCAAAAGTGTACCAACTTAGTTTCCTTATTTTCAAACTTCAATGAAGTTAGAATTACTAGGTGGTTGTTTGCTTGCATTTTGACACATGCAGTGAGAAACAGAGATGCTGGATTCCAGTAAGCACCCTTTATTTCCTCCACCTCATCCGATCTCTTTTGAATTTGGCATGTAAGATGACTGCAGTTCATTTTGCTGTTCTGTTTGGCTTACCTGTGATTTTAATACTGTATTTTCCCATTTCTTTCCCCTTTTCTCTCTGTCCCTCCCCTTCCCTCCCCCTGCTGTTTTATCTCTCTTTGCATGCCACCTGGATCAACAGATGAAATTAGTGGGGACGGTAATATGTGGTTATATATTTTTTAGTCTGTGTGTCACTAACATGCTATTTGCAGGTCCTAGTCTCATCTGCTACTAAAGTAGTTTTTAGTGGAGCAAACCAGATGTAGACCAGCTTGTATTACAGATTTCTATTGCACAATATCACACTTCTGGAACAAAGTGCACTGAAAGCAATCTGCAACTGAGAGGCATACTAATCCTTTTACTGAATGTGTGGCATTGTGCACCTGACTTCTGCCACCTTCTTGTCTGTAAATACGCTGTATCTTAACTCATTGTTTGATATCACAACACTTGCCTTGCCTCTGGCAGCTGATGATACAGAGCAAAATGGAGAAGAAATGGTGCTGTGTCGTATTAGAATGCACGGAGGGCAAAAACGTTTAGTTGCCAGTCCAGTTTGGCTCTGAAAGCCTGGGATGTCCTTTCCCCCACCTTCCCCCAAAGCTTGTATGCTGAGCCTGAAGTGTGTCAGCAATGGCAATATTTAAATTAGATGCATTTGTGACTTCTGGAGTGATGCTGAAAACCTGTTTGCTTGTTTTTTAAGCGATGATGTTTGTCTTGCTGCAGCTGAGAATACTTAAGTACAAGCCAACAAGTGGCTCGGAGTGAAATATAGAACATCATCTGGTGAATAATGGTATTCCTCTAGATAAGGCTGCTTCCATAAAGCCGGCCCTCTTTGCTGATGCTGGGTGGCCTGGCCTTCTGATCTGGTCCCATGGCTTTGCAAGTTCCCTTGTCAATGACTTGCAAATTGAAGCACTTGAATTACTTTTCTCAGACATACATTACCATGGAAAACTAAATGTCTCCTTTCCAGTAAACGTGACTAGCTTCCCTTGCATGGACAAACATGAGTCCTGCAATATATAGAAGGGAAAAGTAAGAAAGTGAGGAGCAAATTGGTTGACCGATCTCCTACCCTCCTCACTGTTTGATATGGACTAATTTCAGTTCTACAAGCTTCTTTATCATCCTTCAAATGTTCAACATATAATTATTTTGATGAGTCTGCAGTGGTGTTGTCTAAGGCGATATGGTGCTTTGGGCTTGTTTATTCTTTGAAAAGGGGGATTATGATTGCCACCAAAAAGCAGCTGTGGTTTCATTTTTTCCTGTGATGGGATGTAGAGACTAGCTGCAAGATCTGGTTATACCTTTTCTCTCCCTGTGTCTCTGCATAGTGTCCCCCAATGCAGACAGAGGAAAAAGCCCAAAACAGACCTGCAAAGCCACTTTATGACTAGATAAGGTCATTTACAAACCATCTAGAGACATTTTTGTTGCTGGGTGGTGTGCTGAGCATGCTTTGAATCATTTTGATTCTGACACAGAATCTACTAAAACACAGATGATTTCTCTTCACAGTGCCTAGGGAAGGTAACTTGCACAGCTTTTAAAAATGCTTTTATCTGGAAAATGCTACATGCTCAGGATTGTGCAAAGTTAAGCTTTACAGAGCCATAATCCTATTTGACTATTGCATCCTATTGCCATAACACCAAATCCACTTACTTATGAGGGCCATGAATACTGCTACCACTACTATTTACAGTTTATTCATTGGCAGCAGCACTAAATAATATATCACTGATGGTCTTAACAGGGAAGGGAAGGGAAGAGGTGGTTTTTTATTCTATGTGTCATGTTGGTAGATTGCCCTACCACTAAGGAGCTCTGGTGTTAAATGGGCAGTTTTATATTTACAACAGCGCTTTTATTGAGGCTTGGCTGAGAAAGCCCAGGGCTACCCAGTGAGCTTCATGACTGAGAAGGAGTCTGGTTTTCTTGTGTGCAGTCATTAGGTTTTAGCTGCTACACTATATTGGAAGAAAAGAATGTCAAATAGAATGGGAAAAGCTCTAGCAGTCATGCTTTAATATGCTCTGGACATGAATTAGAGCTTGGAGTTTCTAGTGAGAGCCATAGAGGGCAGATTTGGGAGAGAAGAGGTGATGAGAGTGGTAAGATTTGGCAATAACTCATGAGGTGGGGATAAGTTCTTGTCTTGAACGTGTGATGTGAGGTGGGGAGGGGATTCTGCTATCTCTTGAGTAGCAAAAAATTATGTGAGAAAGCAGAACTTGGATGGGAAAACTTAGCTTTGTCTTCAACATGTTCAAGATGGAACATGAATGGAATATTCGAGAGGAAGTGTCACTGTGACACCGATTAGTGATGGAAAGAACATGAGAAGTCAAATAAGATGTATAAATAATTAACGTAGTGGAATTAGCTGAAACTGTGAGAACAAGTGGACTTTGAGGATAGAGGAAGTGGGTCAAAATCTGTTATGGCCAGTAGGAGAAAGAAAGAGCAAGTCTCTTGAGGTGGCAGAGGAAGAATGGTTAGAATTAGTAGAGAAGAAGGAAAGGTACTTGCTCCAAAAGCCCGTGATTGAGCATGATTTAAGAAGAACAGAACATTCAGTGGTTGAATCCAGCAGATCAGTTGAGGAGAAAAGGGACTTTACTTGTTGCCATCTAATGCAAAATGTGGACAAGTATATGTATAGCACTCTTGATTTTGAATGCTTCTCACTAAACACAACAGGAATTGAAAAGTGGTTGAAACCCACTTACGTGTTTAGTGCAAGAGTACAACACCATGTACACTATTGTGTACTCTTCACATTTAATAACACCATAGTTTTACTATTTGGGGGTATCATGGTAGGAGGGTATCCTTGTAGGAGTGAGGAGGAGCTTTTGGGATTGACAGTTGGAAGCAGGGAAGAGATTAGGAGAAACTGGAGTCTGAGAGACAGTAAAGAATTGCATACTTTTATTCCTTGCAGGAAAAAGTGGAATATAAATATATTACATAAATACTAGTATCAAAGACCTGTTGGGGCATTACGCTCAAACAGAATGTGGAAGCACATGTCAGGGGCACAGGGCCTATCCTTGCATTTGATCTTATTGGGTTGAATGGCAAGGCCTGAAAAGGGTGTGCGGATACTACTAAAAGAGTTCCCAAATGCTTCAGGGATTCTGCCAGGGTTAAACATGAGCAGGAGCCCCTTCAAACTTTCTTACTCATGTTTAACCCTGGCAGAATCCCTGAAGCATTTGTAGGGAGGCTGCGGACTAATAAGTAATTAAAATAGTAGCTTCTGGACTCTGTCTCAATGTGATGTTGTCCATGCTCTTTTAAACAGTATGGAACAGAAGAACACATGTTTTAAGAATTATGTAAATCCATAGAGGAGGCATCATAGTTTAATAATGGAAGTGCACACTTGGAGTATATATACTCCAGGTTCAGTCCTTGGCAATTCAAGTTAAGAGGCAGGAAAACCTCCCACTATATCCTAAAGACCCAGGAAAAGCATTGGCAGGAATGGGCTTGGCTTGGTATGGTCACCCAAAGAAGATCTTTAAAAACATGCTTGCTACTTAGCATTAGTTAATAACTGATTGTACAATTTTAAATGAATTTTAATATCCTAGACAAAATGGATATACAGCTAAATTAAAATCAGAATTTGCTGGAAAAAGACTCCTGTTGCTTTAAGGTACTTGCAAGAAAAGAAAAGGAAAAAAAAAGAGAAGAAGCAAGGACTTATTAGATTGCCAGGCTGTAACAAAGCACAGACTTTTGCTGCTGTGAATCCTGCATCCTCAGTGTATACAACCTTCAAAGTTCATCCTTGCTTGCACTGTATAAATGCCTTTTCATTATTATCTTTTCCTGCCTCCAAATCCATTGGCTTGTAGTGGGGTTCATGGCAGGAAATTTTCTTTTGATGATACGGATAGGAATTATTCATATTTTGTCTAATAGATCTAAACAGAGAACTGTCTACTGCTTAATAAAAGATACATTCAGTTTCTGTCGCTAACCATTCAAAAACAAGTCTGTGTAGTGTAACACAGGCAATGAGGTAATCTGAGTTTCCATGAATAACTTTCACATTGGGAGGATTTAGTCATGATGGCCTAAGCAGATTTATATAGAGGTGAAAAGGTTGCAGGTTTTTGTGTTTTTACGTGGGAAATGGGGGCATTTACCATCTCTCAAGTTGCAGTTTGGTCTTCTTGAAACTCTCCTGATTCCTTCCTTTCAGAAACTGATGATTATGCAGAGATTATAGATGAAGAAGATACTTACACCATGCCTTCAAGTAAGTAAAGTTACTAATTGTGAAGGATTTTGTATCCATAAAGAACAACTGCAATCAACAAATGACTTAATGAGACACATCTGTAGTAATGCCATTTTCAGCCCATTGGGTCTAGTGGCCTTAATGTTTAGGAAACTTGGGGGTCATAGAATGAAGATATCCGAATGCCATATGGGCAAGGTTGTGCTTTGTGAGCTTGTTTCCTGAAACAAAGTTTTTAATTTGTTAGGCAGTTACATTGATCCGTAGAAATTAGAAATACATAGCATCTGCTTAGAAATTGTTCTTAATGAAATATTTCAGTTGTCAAGTAATGTGAGCGTTAAAATGTATGGACAGAAGCTTCACATGTTGCTGGCTTGTAATGTTTCTGTTGGCAGTGCAGGATTTATCCGTTAAATGTTTTCCCTAGACACACATAAAGGGATGTATGAGGGAAGAAGCCTTCCTCTCATGCTATGTTAAAATGTATAATGACTAATTTGGGGAGCATTTATTGGCGTTAAACCTCCCAACTTCAGTCTGAAATAGTACAGTCCACTGTCAGAGAGCATTACTTCAGTGGGGCTTTATTGTGACTGCATTAGCTCTTAATTTAGTGAGGACAGGTGGAACCTGCAACTAGGGATGTCTGAGAACAGATTTCTGACCATTAGACCAGCAGATTCCACACCCGAAGAGTGGGTTTTTCTGGATTCTGTGGACCATTTTTAACTTTGGGGTGGATTTGTGCTAATGCACATGTTTATTGATGCAGAAGAAGAATAAAGTTCTCTTACTTCCCTGAAAAAGATATGATTCAGTCAGTGAGCAGACAGTGAAATGAAAAGCCCCGGATGATCCACAAAATACAAATGGGACAGATTTTACAATATTGAGTGCTCCTGTTTCAGAATTTCGGTTCACCATTGTATTCCCTCACCACCTGCTCTTCATAACAGTTAGTCAGCATTCCATAGCCACTGAGCGTGCTCAGTCCACATTGGGCCATGGGCGGTCATTCTCCCTTGTGATTGCTTTTATTTTTCTGAAAACTTTGTTCTTTTCTGGGGCCTCATTCTACTTCCCACTTTTATGTGGATCATGCTGTTTTGTCTTCAATTTAGATGAGGGACTGCCTGGGAACAACTGTAAACCATGCATTCTTGCCATGAGAACAAACTGCAGTAATTTCCACTTCCTCTATCTGGTGATTGACAGCTTCCACCATCAGTTTTGAATAAAATGCTCTTATAACCAGACTTGGGAAGAACATCAGAAACGATAGTTAGAATAAACCACGGCTTTGAGCATCCAGATGTAATGAAAAACTGGAGCTATTCAGAACTGAAAGTGGAGGCTGTAATTCTGCTCACCTCACACATGAAAGAAGAACTAGAAAATGCAAGACTGTGCATTGTATATCAAATGGGCATATAATAGGGAATACTACTAGAGGAAAAACGTAATTGAATGGTTCTTTGAGGCTTGGCTGAAGCCAATGAGAAAAGATAACCACACACTGCATATAACAGCCCTATCCAAAAGCCTCCTTTAGCTTACAGAAAAAGACTGGAATAGGTGTTACAGCTGACGTCCTTGCATGTACAATGTTACAAAGATGGTGATAAAAAAGAAATATAGATGTCATACTTTGGGAACCCTCACTAACTTAAAGCAAGAAGTGTATGCTTCCCCTCTCAATATTAAAAATATTTTTCCGAATGTATTCTGAATTTCAAGAAGCAGTTTCTAAGCAAGTGTTTGATTTTTCTCTTAATTGCACTGCAGAAAGCTATGGAATAGATGAAGGTAACAGGAGATCCCTTTCATAATCTCTGTGCTTGCAACTTTGGAATGATGTGTTTTATTTATTCTTTTTAAAGAATGTTGACTCTCTATTAATAAAGTGTTGTGCAGTTAAGCTGATATATCTGATAGCTTTGGGATTTTAAAGAGGAAAATGCATTAAAAAGATTGTAGGCCACTACAAGCCTATTTTTTATAGTGTCAGCCATTCTAACTTTGTCTTACAAACAATGATGTAAATGTAGTGTTCCGGCATAATGAATGAATCTAGAAAGCCACTGTTCTTCTTGGAAATAAGCAGTTTTGTAATGAAATAGGTAAATAAAGCATATTCTGAAGTCAGTTTTGCATTAAATAGCGGAATATTTTAGTATTGCTTTTCATTTAATAAATATGCTGTTCCTTTTCCCATCCTTCCGCACACCTCTTTGAAAATACTCTTGGCTGATCTGCTGCTTCACAGTGCAATCCTATACATGTTTACGCAGAAATAATTTCCACTGTGTTTAGTGAAGTTTACTCCCAGGGACATGTTCATAGGATTACAGTGTCAGGCACCAAAATATCATCCAGTGGAGAGCTCTTAAACATACTGCTAACGCATATAATCTAGGCTACTTACATTTCTTTCCATGTGATCCCATAGGTCATAACCAAATTAAGGTATTTTAATTACATTTATTGCATTAATATGACTAAACAAATTGGAACTAATTCAGTATCTTTGGATTCCACAACACCTTTTTCAGGGTTTTCATCCAAACAGTTGTTTAAGAGGTTTCCACTTTACAGACAGTATTTGTATTGATTGCGTGTAGCAAACTCCAATCTGTTTTTCAAATGCCGGTCTTTTGTGAGAGCTAGTACTGAGTATTGCATTGTATTCCAATAGCCAGGGATTACGAAATTCAGAGAGAACGGATTGAACTGGGACGCTGCATTGGCGAAGGGCAGTTTGGAGACGTTCACCAAGGAGTTTACGTGACCCCAGTAGGTATCCTTAATGTTCTCATGCTTTTCACAGTTCTCTCCCCTCTGTCTTCTGCTGTCTGCTAAAGAACATTGTTTGGTGTGTTGTATACTACCAAAAGAACACAGTTGCAAAAGGGTCCCACCATGGGAACTGAATGGAGCCCACTGTTCTCTTTTGGATTTTGACCTGGGAAACGAAAAGCTACTTTCCCTCATGTACTTAAATGGCTTAAATGGGGTGAGTTGTGGGAAGTCAGTCCTTTGTTTATAGAATATGGAATAGAATTCTTTATTATTTTAGAAGCCTTCACATGATAGTGATTTAACATGCTGTCCCATTCTGCTGGTACCAGAAAGACAGACAGACAGATCAATGATGGAAATTCATATTCTTTTAAATTTGGGTCATCTTATGTGAGAGAAATCTGAATTAATTAATTGGGTTTTTTTTTTAAGTGCCCTGAAAATCTTTCCTATTCTATGGTAGACTTTTGCAATTCGTTCAGGTAGCAGTATGTATGCTTGGTGCTACAGTATAAAATGGAAAATGGAAAACTCCTCAAGCATAAATAAATAGAACATAGAAACAGAGCGCGTCAGAAGGGGCCTCCCGGGCCATCTAGTCTCACCCCCGGCGCTGCTCATGACATGCCCACCATGTGCATGTCCAGCCTGTCCTTGAACATCCTCACCAATGGGGCCTCAACCACCTCCTGTGGATGCCCATTCCATACCCTCGGGGTCCTGACTGTCAGGAAGGACTTCCTGGCATACAAATTGAACCTGGGTTCCCTGAGCTTTGTGCCATTGGAGTACATCCTGCCTTCCTCTGCAGGGGAAAACAGGTCTCTACCCACCTCCGTGTGCCACCCCCTCACAAACCTGTATGTCGCCAAGAGATCCCCTTGGAGTCTCTTCTTCTCCAGGCTGGAAAGCCCCAGTTCCCTCAGTCTCGCCTTAACATGAATTTGATGTTCCATAATAATGAGGAATTAGATATGTAATACCTAATACATGACAAATCTATTTCAGTACATTGGAAAATAGATGTAATTATGGGGAACAGAGGCCATATCTAGTGCAATTCCTTCCAGACTTTAGAGGTGGTAGGTATGAGTAGAGTTTGGAGTTAGAGTGTGTGTGGTAGAGAGGAATTTTTCATGATGCTTTAAAAGGCACTCCAGCTTCTCATTTCCTTCCTTGAAATCTGGTTAACCAAAGGGATTGATTGAAACGTTGAAAAGCTGACTGTTAAATCAAGTGGTAGAATTGGTGTTCTTGAGTCACCTCAAATATGGAGAATGGTGGATCGGACATCACATGCTTTGAGCCTGGCAGGAGCTGGGGAGAGACTATAATGAGGAGAGGGCAGTCATTCCTGTAAAAACATACTCTGTACTTGCTCACATGTGCTTTTCTGTAGGAAAAATATTCTGTTCCAGGAATATTATTGAAAACATGACCTGTATAATTGGATACAAATTCAGGTGTGTGGTTATAGGGGAGATAGTAAATGGAGTGCTTCTCTACAACACTGAGCAGGGAGGGATTGTAAAAATACATTCATTTTTTATTAAAAAAATTGCCAAAAGTGAAATGGTGTATGGAAGGAGGTAGACTGTGCTCTCTAATTGAAGTTTGCTTTTAAGTAGAGGTAGGGTCAGTGTTGAATTTGTAAAGGGAAAGGTGCTAGGACTTGAATTCATGTGGGAAATATGGCATCACTTTTATAAAACCTGCTTCTTAATTGTAAATGTGAGGAGACTGCCTGAAGTTTGTTCAATAGGGAGTGGGGAATGACTGTGCAAGAGGATTCTATTACTTAATTGAAGAATTCTCTGTTGTTGATTGATTAACTGACAGCTCTTTAGTTAATGGCTTCTTATAATGTTTCAGGTTTTCACATTTCTAAAGATTAATGGTCACAGAAGCTATACCTGTCTTTCCTTATATACTTGGTAGCTTCATCACTGGTTTTTCATATGCAGTTATCTGCCTGCCTGCAGCTGCACTCCTGTCTTCTCGGGATTGTGTGCCTAAGCCTTTCTGCTGAGCTAGCAGACTCTTCACTTGGCTTCATTGCTCACACATGAGCATATCTCTTTCATCTATGAAAAAGTGAAGAATATGCAGCTTTCAATGTCACTGCAGACAACAATCTTGGATTGTGATATTTGTAATTTGGAATGCAATATTGCTATATTATACAGATATTACTGTAATATTTTAAAATACTCCCTTAATAGGTATTTTGTGACTGATTATGTAAGAAAAAAATAATAATGACATACCTTTTCAGCATCTCCCAGAGTTTCCCATTTTAGGTCTGGGACCCTGCATGTTTATACTCTGGATGGTCCCATTAATAATGTAAAGGTATATTTAAGTGGTGGCAAGAAGTAGAAACATGGAATGTTTCAGCAGCTGCCATTTTTCTTAATTCCTATACCATGCAATACATGCTTAACAGTATTTTGATCTGCTGCAAAACAATTAAAGCTACTTACATGTAGTACCTCCTTTAAAGAGCATCACCAATGTATCTGAATTACCTGAAATAATCTAGATGAATATAACTTAACATGATTTTTGCAAAAATTCTCTCCCATATCTGTAGGTTACATATCTTAATAAGTGCCTATGTGATCTTCATGTCTATAGTGTGGCTTTTCTGTCTTACAGGAAAACCCCGCCTTGGCAGTAGCAATCAAAACATGTAAAAACTGTACCTCAGACAGCGTGAGAGAAAAATTCTTACAAGAAGCCTGTAAGTCATGAAATCTCTTCCTCTTGTTCACATCCTAAGCAAGTTTAGGGTGGCAACACAAAGTGTGTGGGCAAAAAATGTAGGATTCCCTTAGAATCCTGGGGTTCCTGGCATTTATTCACTGATCTGGTTGTGAAACAAAGTGTTCTAGCCTTCATGCTTTGCTAAAGTGACATTGAATGTGTAGCAACAGTAAATGCTAACTTCTAGGAGGCAGGGGCATGTAAATAAATACCCCAAAGCATTATGAGGTTTGACATTAATAAGCTGTCCATGGCCTTCTTGTGTCATTTAGGTTATGGTCCTATAGATGCTTACCTGGCAATGCATCTCATTCAATTTAATAGGTTGTACTTCTGAGTAGACATGTAAAGGACAGCACGGATCATCTCCTTATTTCAGGGTACTTGCTCGGCTGAACTTTTTTTTTTTAATGCTCGAGTAATAATTCTAAAATGCAGCTTTCCCCACATTTCATGCAAGTGGCTCACTATATTAACACTCTGGATTACTTGTGAAGTGTGTCGCTTTTTCCTAGTCCTTTTTGTCCTCACAACATTTTTGTTACTTCATCAAGATTCACATTTCATGGGTGAGGAACTAAATCTGTGGCAACCCGGAAACTGAATCGCATCGCTGGATTTGCACAGAACTTAGACATTACATGTCTGTGGCTTCCAGAAAGGGGCCTGGACTTCTTCACAAGCAATAATATAATTTAATGAGTGAGCAGAGCAGTAACACCAGTATATCTCAGAATAGTCTCCATTTCCAAAAGCTATTTTTCTGCTCTTTCAGCACATCCAGTTTTTAAAAGTTTGGCTACCATTTGGAAAGGGTCAAATTAATGTTTTTATTAATTTTATGTATCTGTTGGAAATCATTCCGATCTCTTTCTTCCAAAGCAGCAGTGCTCACAAAAAGCTTTCCATTTATATAACAGATAATACAGATCACAGCAGGCTGTCATGGACTGGGTCACCAAACTCCTGTCCTCAGCAATGTCAACTCCTTGTCCTCTGAGGAATAGGCTTCAGAGTTAATGGGAGAGGATTTTGCCTGGAATGGTGTCATAGGTCTTACCAGGACTCAATTCTCCAGAAGGACCTAGGAGGTCACTCCCTGCATTCAGAGACGGTTGTATTATCACCCCCAAATTCTGAACTCAAGCAATGAGGATAGTAGCATGACACGGCTGCATTCATCCCATCCCATCCCATCCCATCCCAAGATTGCTGAAACAGGCCAAGCCTTTTTAAAAGAGTCCAAGCCCCAGTCTGCAGGGAAACCGCGCCTAAATCCGGCTTTACTTTATTTCACTCCTGCTCTGTTCCTTGTTGGAGAAAGGTCCAAAGAAACCTATCTGGCTTCCAGTACCAGCATCGCTCATATCTTTCCATGGCCTAATCTTAAAAGTTGACCTTGCTGACCATTCCTAAATGCTGACCTTGTGGGGAAAAACTCAGTTCGTAGGTGGACTCTGCAGTTCAAGGCTCACCGTCAATGAACCATGCTGAACCCTCATCGAGTCAGGTGCCGGACAGGAGATTGGGCCAGTGCACATGTGATGCTGCTGTGTGAGGATTTGGGAATGAGTGGAAGGCAGGGGCCACCCACCTCCATCCATAGGTTATTCAGTGTGATGAAACAGCAGCAGCACTGGGGGATAAACAACAGTAATGCGAGTGTGCTAATCACCCTCACTGGGCTGATTCAATATGAATGGGCTGAGTTGAGTAAGGAGTGGTTGCGTAAAAGTGGAAGTCACTCTCTCTCTTCCCCACTTGTGCATAACAGTCCATGATGACAGCCAGCTGTAGATATATGCAAATCCAGTTTTAAAGTGTGTGTTAATGTGTTCACTGCACATGTATAGTGTTGGTCTGTGGGTTTTTTTTGGGGGGGGGGGAATTTCTGCCCCTAGTTTTTACAATGGAATTTCCTGAAGTTTCTGTATAAACTTAACCTATAATAAAATACTGTTAATTCATGTTATCAGACCACCAAGCTCCTCAAAGCAATGAAACAGTAAAACCATAACATCGTAAAAATAGAATGTTATTTAGAAACATGCCAAGTAAAATTTTAAAAGCCCCAAATATTGGTAAAACAATGCCATTTTTACTTGGAAGGGATGGAACTGACCTGACCTCCACTGGGAGGTAGTTTCCCACAGGCTTATGTACTCACCAGCATACCCTCTCCTAGTAGCAGGACACAGGGCAGGGTCTCTGAGGAACATCTCAAATAAAAGGCAGACTGATATGGAATAAAGTGGTCTCTCAGATACCCTGAGCCAATGCTGTTCAACGCTTTTTTGAGCTTGGAAATTAACTGGAAGCCAGGGCATTTAATTCAAGACTAGCAATCATTTAGAGAATATTTATGGCTAGATCAGCCTTGGCTTAGGAAAGCGCTGGTTAAACTTGCAGCTGGCCTCAGTAGCCACCTGACCTTCCAGGAAGAATCCTGAGTTCAGGAGTGCTCCCAGGTTGGGAACCTGTTCCTACAGAAAGTACGTAATTCCATCCAGAACAACTGCATCTTAGCTTTGTTTGTCTCCCATCAAAGAGCCTGGACTGAGCCTCAGCTTGCCAGAGCACACCCGGCCTAGATGGGAGATTGTGATTTTTCTTTTTATGCAGGCTTTTAATTTCCATATTTCAATGTTTGATTTTGGCTTCTAGTCTCTGTGCTGTGTGCAGACAATACTGCTTTTGTCTAAGATATTTTAACGTGTTTTTGCTGGTTCTTAATACTGTACTCTGCGTCATGAATCTGTTGAATTGCAATGCTGATGTGCTACACACAAATATACTGAATAAGCCAGTAGCTTAAGATGAAATGGCAAAGAATTTAACTTTATACTACAGTGCTTTGTAGCATGCCTTTCGGAAGCGAACAGAATGCCCACACACTTAGCATATGGCAAACTGTTCGCTTATGTGCACCTTGTATGCCTCCATGTTACAATGTTTTTGTGCCAGGCCACCTCCCGTGATTACAGGTGAAGTGTTTGATATTTTTTCATGTTAATTACATTAATTATTTGTATTGTGATGATATAATTTTGGTAAGAATGGCCCTTGGCAAAAATGACGCTGCTTTCCAGCCTTCCAAAACATAAAATGAAGAATTACAGAGAGGAGTGAATTTCACTCATAAATTTGGAGTTGCGGTAAATGGTTTAATATATGCTTTTGGAATGCTTCTGTGTGTGCCATGAGATAAAAGGCTGATATATCCAGTTGAGCCAGAAAATGCTATCTCTTCCACAGCATGAGTAAATAGATGCACATTTTATTATGTGCAAGGTATTGCTGTTATGCTGCTGGGACTGATAATAGGGTAATTATGCTCATAACAAACAAGATCTGATACAAAGCAAAACACTAAATGAGGTTTTTGTGTGTGTGTGAACATCATACGTATGTCAGCACTGTGTTCTTTCACCACTGTAACATCATCACACATCTATCTCACGAGTGGTCCATTTTCCCTCTTCTTTCTAAAAAGGAATGAATTGCTGAATTATTTATAAACATTATTTATAGGTAAGACATAGAATAAACCTAAAAAAAAAAAGCTGGGCCACAATACAGCTCTCTGTCAGTGCCGCCACCATCATGCCTACTATCAATTTTGTGCAGTTACGCAAGATGCGTGTTGCTTGGCTAAGGCTTGGCCAAACTGAGGTAGATGTTTTACTGAAAGGCATTAATTAAGCAGACTTAACCCCGAGATCTGCACTGTTAGCACAAATGTAACACTTTCTGATCCGCTAAGCCTGAAAAGGTGGGAGTGCACGTTGGGTGTGTATATTCCTTCCCCCTCCTTTTGCTTTTCCATGTGCATTATGGTTTTGCTTCATCTGCAGATATTAGTGTTAACCATAGTTACTTTCAAATGCTGGTTTAAAACTAATTATAATTAGCATTAAACTCTGTGAAGAAGGAGCAGCCGTGATGGTTACCACTGGGAATGGAGGAGAAAGCAAAGTGGGAAGATAGGAGAACCAAAGAGGAAAATGAGTGCAAGACACTAGAACATGTTTCTGACTCCTTAACTGTGGGAGCACTTAAATCTGGTCTGGGGTGATAGGATGGCTATGTGGAGGCTCCTTGAAACTGCTGTCACATAGAGGCTGCTCCACGTGGTAAAGTGATTCACACCCTGTTGCACAGATCAAGCTTCGAGAATGCATTGATATTTGCATGCTGAACACAACCTCAGCAAATGCAAAATGACTTTTCACGCAGAACAAAAGCCACGCAGGAGTAGCTCTCAGGGAGGTTGCAGTATGTGAATTGCTTCAGACTAAGCTGATTAATCTGGAGTTTGTAGGTTGACCCCTTGCTGTAAGAAGGCTCATTCATCCACCAGCCCATCATATTCCAGATTATAGTGTGCCAGTGTTAATGACAAAGCTTGCTTTCTCTGTTCTAGTAACTATGCGTCAGTTTGATCACCCCCACATTGTCAAGTTGATCGGCGTTATCACAGAAAACCCCGTCTGGATCATTATGGAGCTCTGTACACTAGGAGAGGTAGGAAGAATTAATACTAGTTTGGGAGGACTGCTTATCTCGCCAGCCATGTAAGCTGCTTGGATACTGCACTCCAAGGCAGAGTCATCAAAATTCTGCAGCAGATTCCTAGATTGAAGTTCAGCCCTGGAGTAATTGGGCATCATGCCATTGGAGAGGCGAGGCATGCATTTGCTTGCATCAGTGCTGGTTTGAGTCATAGCCCTCAAAGGGGTTGCAGAGAGTTGAAACAGACCATAAATCAAAACCTCTGTACACACTGCAGGGCATGTACATTGACACATAACCTGTGGAGCCATATTGCCTCTGAGGGGGACTTTTTATAATGGGCTTGTACAAACCAGGTTACAGGACAGAGGACCAGAGTAGGGCAAACATTCCCTGTCACTGATTATACTGCTCTGCTCCTTTGAATGAGAGCCGAAGTAGTGTAGAACTGGGGAGACATGGGGTCGAGCTCCCCCTCAGCTGTGAAGCTTTGAGCAGCTGTGGGCTAATCATTAGCTCTCGGCCTACCTCACAGGGTTGTTGTAGAAGAAAGTGGGTAGTGACAGGATCATGTATTCTGCCTTAGGCTCCTCAGAGGAAAATTGAGCTATAAACACAAGGAATAATGCTTTAGAGCTATTGTTTTAAATCCTGTGATTATCCTTTTAATGTTGCTCTTTACTGCTTTCAGTAAGCTACTTTTTGCCTTTTCCAAAAATGTTTTGAGTCATTATTTGTGTTTTAAAAAATACCGAAATGCTTACCATTTGAAAGATATGGCAAAAGTTCTTCTTTGTTGTCTGTGCATCACACATACGGGCTTTAGCATCAGTAGAAGGCCTAGGTTGGAAGAAACTTCAATAGCTGTCTGGCTTCACTGCCTGTATTTATAGAAGCACCTTGTTTCTCATCACATCCTCCAGGTGCAAAGTCAGATGGGGAGTGCCACCAGGCTTGTTTCCAAAATGAGAACACTGTTAAATTAGAGGGGGAGGTATCAACATGATTGGGGAACCCCCAAGGTTTGAGGAGGTACAAGAAATCTTTAGGTGGAAAAGGGGGGGCAAAACCACCCCCAAACAGCTCAATGAACGCTGTTATGCTCATGAGTCATGTAACACTTAGCAGCTGTTCAAGGAGGGTTGGGGAGAGACAAGATAAAAATCTGGTTCTGGGGCTGAAATTGCCTTTCGGGCAAGAGGGCATGAGTGGCTGGGAGAGTAGTCAGGAATATGTTACACTGCAACATTTTTAAAGACCTGTTTGCTAAACTATATTTTTATCTGGTCTGACCTTTTCTCTCTCTCATTCATAAGTTGAGGTCATTTTTACAAGTAAGAAAATACAGCTTGGATCTGGCATCTTTGATACTGTATGCATACCAACTCAGCACCGCACTTGCCTACTTAGAGAGCAAGCGATTTGTACATAGGTAAGATGTATGTATAATTGTCTGGCTTAACAATCATGTTGACTGTTAAATATAATAGTTACAGGAGATTCTTTGTAATCCAGAACTGTGTTTCCATGTTGCCTAGATTGATTTAATCTGTTTTGATTTAATTTAAGGAAAGTTATTAATACAACTTGTTCTGTGTCTTTGATTTATCGTTCCCTTTATGAGTGTCATTTTTTTGTTGAGAAGTCAGTTGCACACAAGAGACTTGGCAAAGGGTGACACCTGCTGGGCTGCTGCTTTTAGTGTGCGTTTTGTAATATTTGTACCAAGTGAATCCTAAAGTGGTTTTGCTAAGTCTTCCTGTGATTTGTAAACATTATTAAGAAAGCATCTGTCATATTTACGGCATGGCATTTCAACGGTGATTTTCTTAAATGAAGAGTGAAGAGAATATTAAATAGAAGCTTCGAGTTTACTGTAATTAGACATGCACCAGAGTGAAGAGAATGTTGCATTAAATATAGATGATAGAAGCACCTAGCAACTTAGAATCTGCATATCACAGAGTTTTCAGAGCATCTCACATACATCAAACTATAATCATTTCAATAACCTTGTAAGATAGAACAGTAGTTGTATTCCCGGAGGTGACATCAAGATGGAGAATGAGTGGCTTGCCTAAGGCCACGCATGTAATTTTGTGTCAGAGGTAAGATTCAGCCCAAACACTTCTTGATTTGTAACCTGGGGAAATACATCTCTTGCATTTCCTGTATGGCTTGATGAGCGAACTGTTGGATGATGGCACATTGTACCATGAGGAAAATTAGAAACTTTCTGATTCATACTGTTTGAGAGAGAATTGAGCAAAGATTCCTCTTTGCTTCACTTTCCTCTTGCTTCTCCAAACTTCTGGCTGACAATTCAAAGGTACAAGCAGTTTAGTAGGATGGTGAAATCTTCATTCTCTGTCAGCCAGGTGAACTTAGCAAATAACCCATAGTTGTTCATATTGTAGAAATCATGTATGCAGTTAGATTCCATGGTCAGAAGAAGGGTAGAATTGCCTTGAAATTTTTCTGATTTAACATCCTGTAGCAGCCCAAAATGCAGTAGCCCTGACAGGCATTAGAACCTGGAAATGTTGCACATGCTTTACATGCTAGGTTTGAGAATTAGATTGTTCAAAGGGTTTTTACTAACAGGACAAAGAGAAGTCTTTGCCGGAGACCCCAGAGAGGCCCTGCCAGTTAGGATAGTCAATATCAAGCCAGAAATGCCCAGGCATTCCTTACATGCAGCCCTGTCAGTATATCCTAACAAGGTTTTCATATAGTATATTGTGTGGGGCATAGTACATAGGCCATTTTCGACATGGCGATTAAATGTACCAAAGCTTTCTAGAAGTCAGATTTGTGATGCCCTGCATCTATAGAAAAGAATAACTTGGGTTTCCCTTGGCAGGGATATTGCTGCTAGAAATGTGCTGGTGTCTTCTACAGACTGCGTAAAACTAGGCGATTTTGGTTTGTCTCGATACATGGAAGATAGTACATACTATAAAGGTAAGGAGGTGGCTTGTTCACAAAGCTAGGGCCAGGAGCCTCGGTACAGATCAAAAGGTAAAATAAGACTGAAAGCACAAGAGTTTGTTTGTTCGTTCGCTTATTCAATGTATATGCCCCTTCGCTAGCCATAGGCGGCTTACAAACAGTTTATTCTGTTGGAGCTCTTTGCCATTTTAGCACCTTCCTGGTTTTAATCTCTAGTGCCTATTGCCCATGATAATACATTAAACCTCCTTGTTCAGGACAGACTATGGAATGTGCTCCCCAGAGAGGTCCGCCTGGCGCCGTCATATGTTTTTCAGCGCCAGGTTAAGACCTTTTTATTTAATCAATATTTTAATATGTTTTAATACTGAATTTTATTGTTGTATTTTATTAATTTGCAGCCAGAGTGGATTGTCAATTTATCTATGTTGTAAGCTGTCGAGAGACGCAAGTAATTGGATGGCATACAAAATTTAATAATAAATAAATAAATAAATAAAATAGATGCTATATACTGTGTAGTGCATCTAATGCAGAAAGGATATGTGTTCTCTATACCCTATCAGGAGGTCTGTGAGTGTGTGAGTCTGAGCTTGGTGGTGTCAGACCTGCCTTTTGGCAGAAATCAAAGATATGCGTTTTGGTGGGCTTTTGATGTGTAACTTTTAAACTGCCTCCTTTGTTTATGTTGATTGTACTTTATGTCTTATTACTGCTTCAGTGTATACTGATTTTATTATGGCTAGCATTTGGTTGTTCGTTTTGTATTTATTATATCCCACTCTGGGTTCAAAATTAGAACAGTGGAGTAGAAATGAATGAACCATTATAATGGTTGTTAATGTTTTCTCATAATGTTCCCAGAAGTATCCAAATCATTGCTGAGAATAGATCCAGCAGGGAAATTATTGATGGCAGAATACAAACCATGCTTTCCAGAAAATGTTTTCCATATGTATTATTTACTAATTCAGTCAATTTAAAATAAGCTTGGTAGTTAAATCATAGTGCAAGACCTCAATTGGCAATAAAAGCACATCCAGTGCAGTTTTTAAAATAAAATTACATGATCTGATTTATATTTGGCAAAAGCCAGGGAAATATTTATGCCAGTTATGTCAGTTTCCTTGATGACCTTTTGTTTGCCATAAAATTTTATTGAAAGTTATGAAGTTCTGCTCATGAACAAAAAGTATATTAGCGTGAGTGATAAAAGAATGAAGCTTGAATCACTTAGCTTGAAAACCTGTACTTTTCCTAGAAGTGTTCACGCGATCTTTCACAATCAATTGTTTAAGGAGTCAAGTGGTATGGATTCTGCCTTCCGACCTCTGCCTTATTTGTGCAACAACTAATCCATCTCCTAGACCAGCTTAAATCAAGACTTGTAAACTTAGCATGAACAAGAATGCATGCAAATGCCAAAATGTCAGCTGGCAGCAAACCTTGATAGAAGCTAGTGAGGGCAGGGCAGGGCGATGGAGTCCAGTAAAATGACAAGAAAGGGGGCATTATAAATGAGTATTGGATGTGACTCAAGTTCAGCATGACTGTCATCTTAAGTATTCAACCCTTTCTGCTATTTATACATCTTTAGACAATGGAAAAAAAACACCTTTGTGTGAAAACACAGCTGTGAGACAGCTTGTGTATCCTTTGCCTTAATTATTCCATCTGTAAAGATGTTTTTATAACACTTCATTCAATCACTGTGAAATCTGGCTTATAATATTTCTGTAGAGGGCCAAAAGGACCCCCCCCCCATGTACTAATGAAGCTAATCAGTTGCATGTACGTTAGCATAGATGATTTAGAGATGTTCATCTGTGTCCTGCAGCTTCTAAAGGAAAATTGCCCATCAAGTGGATGGCCCCAGAGTCCATCAACTTCCGACGATTTACCTCAGCCAGCGACGTCTGGATGTTTGGTAAGTAATGATAATTTCTTCATTAGGAGCTGAATCTGTAGCCTTTTTGACTCATTTCCCATTGCCATTTATTTTACGCCAGCAAATTCCTCATCACTGTGAACGTCTTGGTGGGGACTGTACAAAGCTTTGGAGTGTCAGTTCCAGTGATGCTTTATGCACTTTGCACACAGAACCATTGCACCCTTATGTAGGATCTGTGGCAATGAGTCTGGGCCACCAGATACCAGGGTGGAAGGCAGGTTTTGCGTCCAGTGTAGCACAACCGCATGATTTCTATGAACAGAGAATTCAGTCTTCTAGGGAAGTGGAGATACCATTGGTGTGGGGGCTAAATTGCTTTCATGGTGTCCCTAGTAACTAAGACTTAGTGATCGTGAGACAGGTTAGTTTTACCCTACTGCTGATGTGTCATTGCGATAGTTTGGCTGATCTGAACCATGGTTTTCCAGTTATGGTTGCTGTCTTCTGTAAGGACCACACTAAACGTCTGGAGATACTGTTGGAGCCATTGTTGCTTCTAGATGGCAGCTGTGGCTGGATGTCATTTATTTATTTCTTAGAATATTTTTATTCGGCTCCTCAGCCAAAAAGTGTACTGGAACAGCTTACAAATGATCAATAAAAGAAGATGGTATTTGACCTTTCCAAGTGCTCTCTTCCACTGAAACTTCTCTCTTTCTTCTTTAAAAAATACTTCCCAGGTGTGTGTATGTGGGAAATTTTAATGCATGGTATAAAGCCCTTTCAAGGTGTGAAGAACAATGATGTAATTGGCCGCATTGAGAATGGTGAGCGGTTACCAATGCCTCCAAACTGCCCTCCGACTCTGTACAGTCTTATGACCAAATGCTGGGCGTATGACCCAAGCAGACGACCAAGATTTACAGAACTTAAAGCTCAACTCAAGTAAGAATCTTTTTCTTGTCTGCTTATATCTAATGTTATCTGCTAATCCTTTTTTGTGGAAACTTGCTTTGGGGCAGGGTGCTGGACATTTCATTGCAAACCAGATTTTGTTGTGCTGATTACCACTTTAGATATCACAAGCCATTAAGAATGAATCTTCTTGAAATAATTGAGAGTCAGTGTGGTGAAGTGGTTAAGAGTGTTGGGCTGGGAGTCAAGAGTCCCCATACTGCCATAGAGCTAACAGCGGACTTCGGGCCAGTAACAGACTCTCAGTGCACCCTGCCTCACAGTGTTGCTGTTGCTGTGAGGATAAGATTGTGAGGATAAGATTGAGAGGCAGAGAACGATGCAAGCTGCCTTGAGTTCTGTGAAAAGAAGAAAAAGGTGCAATATCAATAAAATAAATCAATAACATAAAAATAAACTGAGATATGAATCCTGTAATGGCAATAATGTATCTATTTCCTGTGTAAAATCAAGGTAAAACCCCACTGGGAACTGTAAACCAGTCTGTCCATGTTTTCTGGGGCCTGTTACCTGCTGGCTCTAAAAACAGTGTACTGTTTTTTGCAGTCTGACAGGTGCTACAACATGTTTGCTAGCACTTCCAAGATGGAATCCCTTGTATACAGTGTTACAGCAGATCAATCACATGAGGTATCCAGAGCATAGGTCTGTGTTCCCAAATAAGTTTTAGTTGGTACAGCTTGAGGACATTGGCTACATGATTGGACAGATTTGTGCAAACACTTCTGTACTGGATCCTTGTGCCACTCATAACCAACAGCCAGTTGGGCCAGAGAGGTACATAATGCCTGCTTGTGAGAGCAGGTGGTCCCATGTCATTTGAACGACATGGGCAGTGAGACCATTCTGGAGAAATTCTCTCTAGATCCAAAAGATTTTAACAGCTTTATTCTGATGACAAATGCTCCTTTACGAGGCAAGTTCCTTGAGCAGATGGTCACCAGCCAGCTCCAGGCACTCGGGACAAGACGTAGCAACCTGGATCCATGTCAGTCAGGGTTCAGGCCAGATTTTGGCAAGAAAATAGCTTTGGTTACCCTGTATGCTGACTTTGAGAAAGAGGCAAGGAGTGTCAACCTGTTGATACTCATGGATCTCAAAGCAGCTTTCAATACTATTTAAAATGATATAGGGCAGATGTCTAGATTTTAAGAGAGAGGTCCTACACTGCAATGGTCCAGTTCCTACTAGGATGATCAGCTCCAGAAGATGGTCCATGGGGAGTATTGCTCATCCTTGTGGATTCTGCATCAAGGAGTCTCAGGGGTCAGTTTTGTCCAAATAAGCTATTCCATATCAACAGGAAACTATTGAGTGGGACTGTGTGAATCAGCTGTACATCTTCATTGGGGGAGGCTGTGAATGCGCCAGATCAGGGCTTGGTTGTGAGAGGGGATTGGATGTGGGCTAATAAACTGACGCTCAATCCATGCAAGACTGAGAATAAGTGGCTCCTCTGACTGGATGAGGTATTCAGCTCTTCTGGATGGGATCTTGAGGGGGCAGATTCATAGCTGCTCCTGAATCCATCTTTGTCACCCAGGTGGCCTTAGTGACACAGAATGCATTTGACCATCTTCTGATACGCTTCTATCTGAACAGGGATAAACTGGTAGTGATTAACTGTTTGCAGGTAACCTCCATTAGATTGGTACAATGCACTCTGTGTGGCCCTTGAAGACGGTTCAGACAGTTGCAGCTTGTACAAAATGTGGCCGTTGGAGCAGATAAGCCCAATCCTGTCCCAGTTGAGTTGTCTTCCTGTATTCTTCTGAGCTTGATTCAAGGTGCTAGTTTTAACCTATACAGCCTTGCATAGCTTTGGACCACAGTACCTGATGGAACACCTCTTCCAACCTGAAACTACCCAGGAGCTATGGTCAGCATCTGGGGCTTCCCCTGAGGGAAGCTGGGAGCATGACAACAAGGGAGAGCACCTTCACATTCTGGAAGGACCTCACTGAGGCCCACATGGTGTCACCACTGTCATCTTTTTGGTGCAAGGTTAAGACCACTCTCTGCTCTCAGATGTATTATGAGGTACTTCTGCCAGCTGTCTTTTTTTTTTTAGCATACCTAGAATTTGTATTGAACTTCATTTTAGCTGTTTAGATTAGTGTAGATATTTTATTGCAATTTTATGTGAAATTTTGTTACTGTGGTTTGTGATTTTATGAATTGTTGTGAACTGCCCAAAGAGCTTCACCTATGGGATGATAAAGAAACCATATAGTAAATGAATGGATAAATTTCATAATTTTGAAATGCCTTCTGAAATAACCAGTATTTTTCATTGATTGCCAGTAGGTGAGCAGTGGTGGGTCCAGGCAGATCTCTTTCCCCTGCCATTCACAAGGAGGGCATTCCATAACAGTGGGGCTGCAACTAGGAAGACCCTACCCTATATGTCATTAATAGACCTGCAACGCCTGCTGTCCATATTCTAGCTTAAAAAAAAAAAAAGCTGCAGTTTTTCCAATAGATCCAGAAATGAAAGTCTTGTGTTTCAGCTGATCAGGCTTTGAATAGCTTCCATGGATTCTTTTCTTTCCTACCCTTCTCTGCACAAAGGTCTCTTGGCATCACTTTACTCCATAAAGGCTATGTCAGCCCTTTTCGTTAGAAGGATTAAGAATTCTCTTCTGGTGGGATAGCCTGTTTCAGACCTTATGTTCCCAGGCACTATCAAAACCAACTTTTCCCAATTATTTGATTGTTTTCTTTTTTGTGTTTGCTTTTGTTATTCATTTTTTTGGGATGCTTTCCAGGAGGAAAGAGCAATCTCTGCTGCTACCGTTTGGGCGTGCGTGCGTGCGTGCGTGCATGTGAGTGTGTGATAAATAAATGTTGAGTATTTATTGGGAGAGGAACAGAAAACATAAGCAATAATATAGACATGGAAAGATTTAAAAATACAAAGACATCCATAGTAGCAGGACAAGCTTCCCTCACGCAAGAATCTATTTTGGTGAGTCTGATGGACTGGAGCTCTGGGTCAGCAAAAGAGGAGGAGATCTGCCATAATTTTTAAACCCCTCAGCTGCTCCTAGCTTGTTAGAGACAATTTTATGGGTAGAAGCTGTTGATATTTTGTGCGAATAATGGTTTGTCCACTTTCCATTTGATCCATGGAGCATTCAGGTATCCTGCATTCCCCGTCTTGTTCCTTATGATTCAGAATTGTACTTAAAATCATAGGCGTTTGAGGGGGAAGAGTTACTGAAGTCAGCTAAACATTCTTCTCCAGCATGGTTGTAACAAACCACTGATCCTCAATGAATGGGTCACAACCTTGCTAAAGGTATGTTGCTCAAAATGCAACACAGGTTTCTTTTGGTGTTTGTTTATTTAAAATATTTATATTTGGCTTTTCCATCTTGGCTACAAGGTGATTCATGGTAATAATAACAATTCACTTAAAACATAATGATAGCAAATCATGACAGCAGCAGCAAAAAGTTTCTAAGTTTTTTTTAATTCGTATTTTATTTCTCCCTTGGTAGCTAAACAAGAAAAGAACTCTCATCCTTCACCTATTATATTACTTAATTAGCTTCAGAATTGTCATTCATTTTTATTTAGAATTAACTGTAATTAATTCAGTGAGAAAGAGCAATTTTAATGTCATGTTAGAGTGGAAACTGAGGCTTGGGAATAGCTTTGCTAAGTAGCTCAAGTCTGAGCAGAAATCCCCATGCCACACCCAACTGTACAGTTCCAGTGTATCACACCCGTCTGAAGAACACTGCAAAGGTTGTGATCAGAAAGGTGCTATTTAGTTAGGAATGCAATTAGGAGTGAGTGCAATCCTGTGCATCTTTGAACAGAAAATGCCCTACTGGCTGAACATGTTGGGAATTGTAGGACTTGTTCTGCCTAAATGTCCATAGGATTGTGCCCTTGATTGGGGAGTGGAGTGTATGTTGGAAGGATAAGGATGGTCAGTTAGGACAATGGCGTTTTGCATGAAAATGCATTTGGAAAGCTTCTTCAAATTCAGCACATAAACTTTCCTAGGGAAACAAAATGCATGCCTTCAGGCTGCCTTAGGATCTGGCACAGGCCAGCTGCTTGACAAACGAGACATGCTCCTTTACTTACTGACTTATTGTACTACAAATAACCTTCAGTTTGGGAAAATAACGCTCAGTCTGACTTGCTTGACCTCCTGTGAATTCTGGCCATAAAATGCTAGGAGTACATTAAAACAGCTGTATAAAGGACAGTCAAAAATATCTCTAGACATTGGCTGTTCCCTTCTATGGACAGATCCTCCCAGTGGCCAAACAAAGGCAGTTTTATGTGTTATTTTTAATCCTTTGCTTTGAGGAGATTAAAGCTTCCCACAGCCATTTCCATTTCACACTCTCTCTTTTTGTCAGTGCAGAGACACAGACATCTGAGGATTTGCTCCATTTCAGCTGACCAGGATTTGGGGGTTGGGTTGCTTTGATGCCCCTCTTTTTTAAAAGCTTGCCCTGAGTACTGGAATTGGGGCTCCATCTAAGCCAGCACTGACCAGGAGTTAGGCCATGGCTCTGTTTGCCCTTCCATGGCTAAGCTAAGCATTTGGATTACCAGAGTAATTAAAGAGGGCTTTTATTTTTGATTTGATTTATACCCCGCCCCATTAGCCAAAAAGACTCTTTCCTGAAAAGCTTTTGAAATGTACAAACTATATTTCCCTTGCCACCAATCACCACAACTAGCTACCACACATGGGATTAGAGAGCTGGTCTTCTAGTTTGCCACTTCTGGGAAAGAGTGGAGAAAATGGTGTTAAGCTCCTTGAAAGTGCCTTGCTGACAGTTCTCAAGCAAGTTCTAGCTAAAAGACCAGCTTTGGTGTAGCATCTGCCAGTTTCTCTCTCCTTTGAAATGGAATGAGGCATGATTTGAAGGCAGGATTAAACCACAGCTCTTTCCTTTTATAAATTAAATATTTTTAGAGCCTCACAGCAATGTAGCCCATAGGCAAAGATGGGGGGTTTTTGTGGGGGCATGGTGCCTGCTTGCACCTAGTTAAGGCATGCACTATACAGCCAGAGAGAGCGTGCACACGCTTGACTCAAAGTAAAGGGAAAAGCCTAAATCTGAAGGTGAAAAATATCAGGGATTCTTGTCACATCTGTTTCGACTTAATATTTCCATGGCGTGTGTCAGAGACACCATGGCGATGAGCATAGATAGATGGCCAGACAAGTGACTAAGAATACAGAATTCCCTTTTAGCTGGCAGCAAGCAGGCATTTTGTGACTGCATGATTTTTATTGTCTTGGCTGTAGTCTGTCTCCTCTACTTGTGACTTCTGAAGAGTTTGTGTGCTATGATGACACGATCCCCCTGAGAATCATGCACACTTCCTCCACCCTACCCAAGTATATTGAGGACAAAAGGTTCCATCCAAACATGCAACCAAAAAAAAAAAAAAAATCTTGAGCATAAATGACTTGTTGTGCATGGATGGAAACAAATTCCTTGGGACTTGCAGCTGTATGCAGATGACATGAAATGGCTGGGGAAACATAGCCACTACTGGAATTTCTGTATTTAACAGGGTTGTCAGAAAGGGTGGGGCCAACCTCCTTGCTGCTGAACAGAGGAAGTAGAATGGGAACTTTTCAATAAAGTTATTTAAATTAAGCTTGATTGCGACTTTCCCCCCAGTGAATGGCAGATACTTAAATAGTAAGATCGCTGCTCAGCAGCCTTCCCTAACATGCTACCCACCAGATGTTTTGGATAGCACCTCCCATCATCCCTGGCTTCTGAACAGGGTTGCTGTACCCAAAAATATCTAGAGGGTATCATTCTGGGGAAGGCTGCTGTGCATACTTACTATATTTTTGCAAGATGTTTCAGTGACATGCCAGAGTTGTTTGACAATGTCTAGAAATGAGCGAGTGCCATTACAACTGAAATGTCTTTCAAACCACATTTAGCGCAATAGCCTTGTGTGCCCCAAGCTCTCTTGTACCTGTTGCCTTGCTGCTGGAGCGCACGCCACAAAAATATGCACCGGGTGCTCTGGCTTGAGGCGGGCAGGGCATAGGAGTTTAGAGTCAACAGAGTGACGAACAGAGATTGCAGGGCAGCCTGTTCAAACCCCACATATTTTCAGTAACCAGATGAAATAAATTGCTATCTGCATTTCTACCTCCTCTACCCACATAGAAGCTGCATAGCGGTTTTACATTTGGCAGAGCAAAGAAGCCAAATCTAATAGCCAATCAAGGAGGAATTTATTTTTGAAATGAGCAGCGGACTAAGGCAACTGATCTCATGCCTTTCACTGTGTACTGCTGGGAGTTAAATGGAGAGCTAGACGAAAGGATGTAAATTCTGAAGAGCCTTTAGAAACTCCTGACTGGCATCCAAAGCACAGGAGTGGCTGCAGTGCCAAACTGATTAACTTGTGGCCCTGCAGAGACCAGTGTGGAAACGATCAGATCAGCTCTGAACTCCTAAGAATGCATGTAGTATAAGATTCTGTAAGTGCTTAGTAAAACTAGAAAGCTGCAGCTCAGTCTTCCCTAGATTGCTGATATCCAAACAAAGTAATTTGTATGGCAGGAAAGGGAGGGAGTATTTGAGGAGGCAACACAGCATCAACTAGCGAAGAGGTGGTAAGTAGCTGAAGAACGGGCTAAAGCTCTTAGTTTCTTTGTTATATTTGCTTGTTTGTCCTCTGAGAGAGGCTAGGCTATTATCACAGGTTTTGTTTTGAACTGTTTGGCAGTAAAACTTAGGAGAGAATTTTAGATCTAGCTTTAGTCTAGGCTGAGATGACATTTAACTTGCTAGCAGAACTGCAGGTCCATCTGTCTGTCTCTCTGCCATAAGAGGTAAAAAAAGGAAACTTATTTTTGTCTTTTCAGAGATGTAGTAAACTTATTTCCCATGTTGAATATGAATGTTTTCAAGCAAGTATGTTCTTGATTAATTAGCTTAGTGTAATTACACTGGTGCCTTTAGATCAAAAGAAATGTGAATATGTATATATGTATGTCTGTATGTATGTAAAATGTTCCTCTGTGGGATCACCCGTAACTTTCTAAATATATCTCTCATCGCCATATGTCTTGGTGTTTTAAGGGTCTTATGTTTCAGTACCCAGTTGCTAATTTTGCAAAGGCATCCTTACCCCACTCCCACTTCCCCTCCCCATTATTAGTCTTATAAAGCGTAACAGTTTCTATCGCTGCTGAAAAAAAGACATATTTGTCTAACAAATTCCTTGCTAGTCTGCAGTCTGGAACCTTTGATTTGGGGAATGCACTTGGAGGAGACTTGAGGACGACATCCATTACATTCGCAGTGAGAATGTCATTTATCTTTGGTGTGCCATTTATATTCCCTTTAGTACAATATTGGAGGAAGAGAAGCTGCAGCAGGAGGAACGAATGAGAATGGAATCAAGACGGCAAGTTACGGTGTCCTGGGATTCAGGCGGATCCGATGAGGCTCCTCCCAAGGTACTGAAGATGGGTTTCTCTCATAGCCTTTATACTGAAGTAGCATAACTACGGTGTCCATTCACCTGCTAAAGGGGGCTGGGGAGGCAGGGAACAATTCACATGCTACATATTGCTCCTGAATCCCTGTGGTTCCAGTTCAGGCAGGCATATTTTCTTTCCTTTAAACGCCCCCCCCCCCAAATGAATACATTTTTATCCATTGTTGCAGCAGAGGTACTTTTGAAGAACCTAATGAACAATATGCTAAAAATAGAAGTAGTAAGACATACAGAATATTTGCTGCTCAGTTCTCTTGACTTTTAGATGAATATCTTTTAATGGCTGACTCAAGTTTTTTTTTCACAAGTGAATTTTAAAGTTGCAAATATTATATTATAACATAAAACAATATACAAAATATGTTGATCATATATAGCAACTAATGTATTAACTCTAATTTGGAAAGTAAGTGTTATGCCAAAAATAGATTTCCGATGGAGTCCTTTGGCTTTTATTTTTTAGCTGCTTTGCTGAACTTGGTTTTATTTTGTGGGGTCCACCTGAATAATCTCTAAAGCCATTAATTAAATCAGATAGCAATTACAGTTTTGGTGTTGATAGGTCAAATGGTTAGTCAGTGTTCTTTGCATTCCTCCTTAGATTTTCTTCTCTCAGGGAACACAGCTTGTCATTATGATGTTTCGCCTGGGGGTTAAACATTTGTCATTTTGCCTTGTCAGTCTTCCCATAAATAACTGATCAGTGAGAGACCCTGGCATGTATAAAGTTAAATTTATGACATAACGAACCATTTGGAAATGAATTCATTCCATTACACTTTGTGCTGGGGCAGATTCTTTTCTCGCTGAATAAAGAGACCATTTGCTGCTGCTTTGCTAACATCTGTTTCCACTCCAAGTCTCAGCATCACTTTTTTCCCCTGACAAGCATTTCTCCAGCCAGTTTCCACAATTCATCTGAAGAACCTGTGCATCAAGAGTATTTTGGGGTGACTTGGTCTTGAATGTGAAATTAATACCAAGCCACTCCAGAAAGCCTTTTGCTGGTGGAGAAGACAGTCTTGTTCCTAGCAGAGATGAAAAGTAGCAGAGATGAAAACAGCTAGAACTGGTTCCTTGATATTAAACACAGAAGCCTGCTTCATTTGTTTGTTCATTCTTTTCATTATTGCCCAGTCACCAAAGCTCTCTGGGCAGTGTACAGTTGGGCCTTGCTTGGAAGTGTAGCTATGGGAATCCTCACAATGAATGTCTGTGTTTTGGAATTTACCATTATACCACCAGTCAGGAGCAGAACAAGCAAGCTTGGATCAGCTCTCAGATCCTTTACAATCGAAATGCTTGTTATTGCTGGATTGGATAAAGCCAGGCAGAAGTGCTGTGAGATTTTATCTGGGCAGGTCTACCAGACTGGGTGCACTGCTAAGACTAGAGGCCAGAATTTAACTCAAGGACGTGGATCCTGGATATGCTTAAGAGGTGGTGCAGTGCCTAGGGAAGAATTGGCAATTTCCAAAGTGGGGCACACAGGCTTTCTATGAGAGAGCAGGCCATTGAACAGGTTCCAGCAGCATTTCTGCTGTTCTGGTGTGGGTGTATGCATTGCGGTTTTTGCTTGTGGGTTTATTTTATTTTATTTTATTTTATTTTCATTGTTACAGGTAAATGATTGCTCAGAATGGGGAGTGCCTTTCTGAGATTTTGCTCCTTTTCAATTGACAATCCAGTATCTGCACATGTGTTTATGTTAATCACTGTTTATTTGTATAGCTGCAGTAAGATGGACATTAAGGATATGTGTGCAGTATGGTGAAAAGCATGTGGACATTAACATAATGTTGGTCAGGCTGCTGGTGTCTCTTACTCTTAACTAGTTCTCTGGTCTTGAAGCCCAGAAGGTTTTCAGTGGATCAAGTTAAAAAGGAATGTGGTTGATAAAGAACATATTTTGGTTGAGTATTAGTCTAAAGCTGCTGATGGCATAATGAGATTGACAAAGCATATGAACCTAGCAGGTGTTTGTGGGGCTGCTTCTGAATGATTGTGCTTGTTCTTGGCAGAACTGTCCTGCAGCATCACAATGGTTAATAGCTGTCCTACTGCGGAAGATTCCTGTGGAATCATGCAAGGGCCTGTGTTTGCTCAGGGTTCCCTTCAGTTTTTATAAAGCTCTATTTTAGCATGGAGTTCAGTCCCATCAGTTTGCTGGTAGTACCAAGAGCTGCCCTTCCCTGCTCTTTGGAGTTCACTCAGGACTAATTTATAATTCAATAATGTGCTCACCATGTTTCTACCTTCCACAAGCATAAATGCTGCATACTTAGAACTGTATTATTTCCATATACATGTTAAGCTTTTTACAGCTGCACGCCCTGATGCGTATGCAACAAATGCCTGCCCTGCATAAGATGTAAATAGGCTGCTGGTGCCGGGAGGTTTGATGCAGACTGGCTGGAAGGGCCCCTTCTCAGAGGCAGAATACATGCTTTACATGCCAGAAGGTCCTGCATTCAACCCTTGCAATTCCAGTTAAAGCATGAGAAATGCTCCTTCTGGGGATCCTGATGCACACTAGTGTCGAGTAGACAGTAATGGACTAGATGGATTGAGAATACTGTGGTGGCGGTGGTTCAGACTTGGCTTAGTTACTAAGCTTAAGCAGAATGAATTGTGAGGGGGCCTTGGCGTAGTCTGGAATGCATTTGGAATTATTCTAGAAGGCTTATAAGACTTGAACAGGCTTCAGAGGGCTGCAGCTAACCTCAGAAAGGATTGGGCCCTTTGCAAGATCATGCGGGCCCAGGCAGTAGTCTTGCTTGGGCCCGCATGATAGAGTAGGCTGAGAATTCAGATGAATGGTATGTTATTACTGGACTGTAATTGAGCCATCTCATTTACTATCAGGACTGATATACTGACTATGCTTTGAACAAATTGCTTTCAATAATACATGCATTTGCAAAAGTAAACAAATGACATTAGTTGTGATAGCAAGCTTCTACTAGTATCATATAGTGTTGTTTGAAGGCATTAAATGTTACATTCTTGGAACTACTCTACTGGAGTTAATAGTTCTTCAACATAATGAATGAAGAATTACAAGTCTATTTATTTGTTAGTCTTCATAATTTGATAAGCGGAATATCTAAAGTGGATTGATATTTACAAAGTCATCCATAAGTAGGAGGCATGATCTTATCCCTTAAAGGTCGTAGAGGCAACGTACATTCTATCAGTATCAAGTATGGATGCAAGTGGAGAATAGCAATTTCGGTTGTGCTCAGATAGATTCACACGTGTGGAGGTGCCTGGTGGACAGAATAAATCCGTATCTTCTTCCTGGTGGTTGTGTGCAGGGAAGAGGTGATTACAGGAGCAATCAACCCTGAGTGTGGTGGGGAGGAACTCAACAGGCAAAGGGCACGTGATTTGCTAGTTGCACAGGAATTGGTGTGTGTGTGTGTGGGGGGGGGGAGTTGGACTCAAATGCATAGTCTTTCTTATTTCTGTTTTTGCTAAAAAGATTTTGCTCATGTCTGCTGTATGCTTTTTGGTTGCTGCAAATAGTAGAAATGGTAGCTGTTCTGCATAGGTTAGGATGGGACGTGTAACTACCTCCATGAAAGCAAGTGCTTCCTCAGTTACTGACTTTTGAATTTTTTAATAGAATACTGTGAGTTTTGCTACTTTGTTTTGTAAGTTATTTGTTTCTGTTCCTAGCCCAGCAGACCTGGCTATCCCAGTCCAAGATCCAGTGAAGGATTTTATCCAAGTCCGCAGCATATGGTACAGCCCAATCATTACCAGGTAAAAATACAACCTTTATTTCATTGGTTTTCTATCTCATCATCTTAGATATTTGCAAGCGGCGTGTTCGTACTGTGTCCATCTAGCAAGCCAAGAGGGTGTCTCTCTATCGTGAAAAGCACTCAGGTGGGGCCAGGATAACTACGGTGCCACATTTTAATTGAAACATGGTAACCAGAGTTCATCCAGGCCAAGCAAGGCCCACATTTGGGGGAGTCAGAGATGACCTAGGCTGGGGTTTGGGGTGAAGTTCTGCCACACCTGTCATTGGGCTGCAACTTCCATCAGCCCTAGCCAGTGGAGAAGGATGAGTTGCAGTCCAGCATCAGAGGATATTATTTTGCGCATCTCAGCTAGAGAGACTGGGGACTGCACTGGGGACCGTCTGCATGGAAAGCATCTGCTTTGCCAGTGAGTTACAGTCCATTCTGTCATAAAAGGAAGGGTCCTCAGTGGCTCTGAATGGCTTCCATCAAACTTGTGCTGGAATTGATCTGTGAATATGAATGCTTGCGAAGGAAAAATCTAGACAGGTGTGTCTAGAGCTTTCACACGTGGTGCCTCTGTGACTACAGCTGGATGTGGGTGAAGTACTCTGAGCCTGGTGGAGACACTGCTTGGAAGGGGAAAGGGGAGAGTGAGTGAACAAAAGACTTTAACGATGGGAGGTTATGACTTGATCATACGGATATACTTATAGAAATTTAAATACTTACAAAAACGGGGTGAGTTTAGCTGGTCATGTCAAACTGAGCCCAGAAAAAAAAGCAGCAGTAGTGTCAAGAAAGGTGAGAGTATAGTACCTTGGAAGGAGGCACAATGGAGCATGAATGAGGATTTTCGCAGATTCAGGGAGAAATGGTGGGCATTGGCAATGACGAACAGGAGCAAGTGACAAGCATCTGCAGTTGCTTGGAGGTGGGCACATTAAAGACCTGGCCAACATTCTCTGAAAGGTAAGAATATGGGGATGGAGGAAGTAGCAGCATTTCGCTTTACACAAGAATGTGGGAATTGTACAGATTTCAGTGGAAAGCATAAGAGTTCTATCTTTGCCATTTTCTGTGTTGACACTTTGATAAGTCTGCCAGCAGGAAATATTAGGTGAGTTAAAGGTATGATATTAGGCAGAAAGTGAGAAGTCAGAACTGATAGAATAAATGTGGGCTTAAGCAAATGCACATCTTTAATCGAGCTGTAAACTGCAAATGTGACACAGATGTGAAAGAACAATTAAGTGATAAGATTTCATTCCCCAGTGGTTTCTTTGAAGGCTTTCAGATGTTCTTAGAGAAACCAGTGATCTCCCTCCCCTACCCCCCCTTTTTTTTTACCTTACATTGTTTTAACTTAGATCTTGTGCCATTGGGATTTCTGACAGAATTTTTGAAAAGAACACATAGGTGCACGCAAAACTTGCAGTATATCCAGGGAGAGGCATTGCTGTGCTTTTTAAAGCAAGTTGCATTTTAAAATAACTTTGAATCATAATGGAGACAATAATCACCTTATTACCTTAGATATATAAGCTTATAAGACATCCTGGAGGCTAAACTAGCAGGATGTGTAGGAAAATACAAATACAATTTTTATTAGTATAAATGAGCACCAAGTGTTTCTGTCACTCATGTGGAATATGGTTTGAAAGTCTTGTAAATGCATTTAAACTTCCTCTTTTCAGAGAGTCAATCATATCTTAGTGCAGTGCTCGATATGCGGAATATAAGTGACAGCATCTAAGATTGTGTCATAGTGTCAGAAAGCATCAGTGCCTTTTTACATTTTTTCTTGCTTCAGCTATTATATATACTCCCCTCTGCCTGATTTATGATGGAAAACTACTAAAATACAGCCTAACTGGAGACTAGACAGTGTGTTCAAGTATTTCTCAATATTTTTGCTAGGTCTCAGGCTATCCCAGCTCCCATGGGATCCCAGCCATGGCGGGCAGCGTTTATCCAGGTCAGGCCTCTCTCTTGGATCAGACAGATTCCTGGAACCATCGGCCTCAAGAAATATCCATGTGGCAACCCAGTGTGGAGGTAATGTCTACCCAGCTATTTAACTGAGGGAGTGAAGAAATTTTTGCCTTTTAGTGGGTGTGTAAATACTCATTCCTTTTATTTTTGGTCCTCTTTCAGTAAGACTTTGTTACTGCTATATAGCTAGTTGGTCTCAGCTTCTCTCCTTACAGTGGAATACTTAAAAGGTGCTCGTTGTAGTATTTGCATGACAGAAGCTGTTAGCATTGCTACACTATTCCGGCACAGTGTGTTGAAATCATGAAAGTGCATATGGCATAGAACACCCACGCTGCTCCCTACAGGATGCAAGGACCATCATGACGGAGGTTCTCCTTCTGAGGACAGGGTGGGGCAAGAAAGCCCCCTGCCACATCTTGCATTCATTTTGCCATGAAAGCAGGTCATAGGGTGCATTGCTTGTGAGGCAGCTGGCTTACTGCCTCAGAGAATGCACAGGTCAGCAAACACTTGCTCCAGTACTGTAGGAGAACAGACGGATCAAGATGATCGAGACACCTGGGTAGATGGCACAGCTGCCATTTGTTGTGGGGAGCAGTGAAGGGAGCCGAGTCTCAGTGTCACATTTACTACTTTGGGGAGAGCTCCTCTACCGCTCCCTTCCTCCTGCAAACATGCAAGTGGCCCTCCTTTTCTCAGAGCTTTGCAGTAGTTCTTACTTGAGGACTAATAATGCACTATCGCAGGACACCAAACTTTGAGCTAAAAACAATCTACCAGTATATGGTGTTTTCTTGGATTTGTAAATGACACTGGTAACAGTAAAAGAAGCAATTTCTTTTCATCAGGGGTCACAATAACATACAGAAGACAGACTCAAACCAATTTCATTTCATCCCCTGCCCGCCTCTTTAAACTAGCTATTAATGCAGACCTCTCCAGCTCCTTAAATATTCAGGTCATAACTCAAAACCAACAAGAATCATGCTAAACATGGGATCTGCTGCAGAAGTAGTTTGATAGCTGCAGTTTGTTCCCTTTTAACGACTGTTAACCTCCTTAAATTCTGTTACTGTACAGCCACAATGCAGCATCCAAGTGGGAGAAGCTTCCAGCTATAAGATTTATTGGGCCAGACAGGCACAGCAGTCAAGCCAGAGAACCATGTTGCAGTCCTGTCTCCTGATAGTTGCTGCCTTTTATCTGCTTCCTTTCTTGCTTTCCCATTGGTGTTATGGAAATTTTTGGGATGAACAAAGAAGTTTGAGCAGGACGGCAAGTTTCCTGTTTCTCTGCTGGAGGTAGACTGGGAAGCTTATAGAACAGGATAATTACAACTGCTTGAACCAATTGTTACAGTCATTTGGATGCTTTTGACTACAATAGAGGCTTTTAGGTCTCTTGTGTAAATTAGTCCCTTGTTAGGTAAAGTCTCTAAACATTAAACCTCTCTTGTATTCTAAAATTCTGGACCCTTTATGACAAAGTTCTTATTATTTATCCTCAGAATTACTAGTGAATTAGGCTAGGCTGAATAATGCTGTTACTATCTCGCCCCAAAGGGCTGTTTTCTCAAGAAGAAAGGCAGAGGAGACTGTTATGTTAATAAATTAAAGCATACCACACAATATTACCACTTAAGGATTTTTCTTGCTCTTTCTCTGCCCCTTACCTGCTCAGCAGGACCCGGGCAGCCTGGATCTGCGAGGGATGGGTCAAGTTCTACCAGCACATCTAATGGAAGAGAGATTGATACGACAGCAGCAAGAAATGGAGGAAGACCAACGATGGCTGGAGAAGGAAGAACGATTCTTGGTAAGACTTTCCACTGTGCTGTTGATTTCTGCCACTCCATCAATATATTCCCATCCTCTCAGGCCAGTTTGGTGCAGACTTACCAGCCTGATGCCCTGATTGTATAAGCAACTCATGCTGCTAATTTTTAAAAATTCTGATCTTGTTAAGTCAGAAACTACAGATTTGATGCAGGGTGAAATCCAGTTAATGTCTTATGCTTGCATCTTCACACATGTATGATTCATACATCTTCAGTTTGTTTTATGTGTAAATTTTCTATAATCCACTTGGAATCCTTGAAAGGAAGGGTAGGATGCACCTTAAAAGAAAAATAAGCCCAGTGCAATTGGCACAGGGCTTCTGATGTGGGAGTACCATTTTCTATAACTACATCAGCCGTATTCCTTTTGACACTGCTCTGGGTTCCAAAAGTTGAGGGGCTGCTGGTTTGTGGAGCTGCTGCTGGGTGAAAAGGGGGGAAATAAGTCTTAAATGTTTGGTATAAAATCTTGTCTTATTAAACTTGAATCATGAAATGTTGGTGGCAAGTATTTTTCTTTGAGAGGAGAAAAATTATGCATGAAGCAGAGCCCTCCTCTGGTTCCAGAAGGCAGATTGTGAAGCTTGTTTGAAGACCAAGAGTTGCCTCCACCCAATCTCCTCATGACTTTCTCTCTTTATCGTGGGCCAGCAGATCCCACACTGCTCTGATCTTTTTGAGAGCCCAGATGAAACAGCAGATAAAAACTCAGTTCTTCTGAGGAGGTGCAGCAGTAGCAGTAGCAGAATTCGTGGCCTCCTGGTGCTCAGCTGAACCGAGAGAGAACCCCTCTGCAGGTTGTTTCTCAGAGGGGAAACAAGGGCACAGGGATTATTCCCTGAAGATGCCAGATTCTCCTCCCAAACAATCTGGAGGGTTCTGCATTTACACATGTTCTAGGGAGCCTATTAATTGTAGCAACATTCTGTTTGGAAGTGATGTGTGGAGATTAATCGGCTTGTCCTCTGTCAAATGGGTCTTCTGTTGGAGCAAAGAATTGCGGATTCAAAGGAATGGTTTAAGGTTCAGGTCCCACTCTGTCTCTTATTCAGGTTCTTGGTCATGGAAAAGCTCTGCCTAGACTGTGAAGCAAGACCCTTTTTGCACCATTTTATGACAAAATTTAGAGAACTACATAAGCTGTGCATTTTGTGGTGGCGGGAGAGGTCATACTGCCCTGAACTTTAGGGATAGCTTGTCTAGACAATTTCTTATATTTTGCTTTGGGCAGGACATGTACACATTTAAAGGAACAACTCCAAAACTGAATTCTGTACCCTAATTTTATTATTTTATTTTATTTTATTTAAACCATTTCTATGCCACCCCATTTGCAAAAAGCTTCGGGGTGGCTTACAACATAAATAAACAATTATATAATTAGACTTAAAAAACCAGAAACATCTCGGCACGTACATAAAAACCCTATAAATACAATCAATAAATTAACAATTAAAATAACTTTTAAATAGAAAGGTCTTGGCCTGGCGCCGAAAAACAAATAATACCCTAATTTTGCCAGATGAAGGGCTATACTTTTATCCTTTTTTGCCTAATTTGGGCTACAGGGGCTTTCAAACGACAAAGAGATCGATGATGTTTTGAAATATTAGTTGGTACAAAATATGTATAATTTGTGTGGAATAAAAGCATTTTTTCCTGTTAAGGAGAGTCCTGAGGCCTCATATCATTTCTTCCTTTTGCCTGTGATCAGAAATTATGCAACCATCAGACAGTGCCCTGTTGGGGTATAATTTCTGGGCAAAATACTGCCACCAGTGTCCTTTTTTATCAGTGGCAGCATTCACAGTACAGTATTATAGTATGTACTCCATGCTCACCTCATCTCTTAAGCAGTTGAAGAGTCACTGCATGGGCATTTCAAAATAATTTCTTTAAAAATGACATTTTTTTCTTATGGGAAGTCATCTTATTTTTCTTGTTTATCAACATTTAAAATGAGTGTACACATACAAAATTAGCACATCCGAAACCTAGCCTTGATAGGTTATTTGACATTTGAGTTAGTTTTCTAGTAAATCCTTTCATTAAATAAGTTTTAATTTCTTTTTCAAAATCACAGCATTTTAGTCCAAGTCAGTCTCATCAGATATGTCTTCAGTCTTAGTTGTAAAGTTACAGTACTTTTCCTTATGGGTGCGTGTGCCAAAATTGTGAGAACAGTCAGTGGAAGGCAAGCTAGAGGCATAATAGGAACACCTGCCTCCTTCAGATTCACACATTCGCAACTACAGTGCTGCCTTCAGTGTTTTATCTGTTGTTGTGTAAGGCTGGGGTGGTCACATTGCATGAGAAAAAGGGCTTCAGTCATCTCTCTGGTAGAACATCTGACTGCAAATCTTTATAAAAGATGCATGTAAAACCAGGACCCTCAGACACATTGGCTCTGCAGGAGTCTTTAAGCCACTATCAGACTGGAAAATTTGAATGACCTTCTGCAGATCTGGGTGTTACAAGTGGACAGAGATAAAACAATTGAGATAAAATGATCCCTATTTCTCATTTTAATTAATGCAAAAGGCAAGGATGGCTTGTTAGAAGTTAGAAGTTTACTTTTCCATAGACTCCATGCAGCTGCAAAGACTGATAAAAAGGCTACAGTTCTGTTTCTGATACTATAGACTGTTATCTGAAATTCTTAGTACTTCCTTAATATAAGAATGAATGAATGAATGAATATGTCCAACTGTTGCTATTTACCAGGAACATCCTCCCCCATTTTCTGTTCCTATTTTTCCCCATTTTCACCTTCTAAAAGTCTTGCCAGTGATGCTAAAGCTGTAACTTTTCAGGGACCAATTACAGGACAGGAACAAATCTTCCTTTATCCTTAACCTGCTCAGTTGTCAAAACTAGTCCCCCAACTTTGCCCCTCCTCCTCTAAATGAAATTATATGATGCTACAAAGATAATTCTGCTGGAGTGAAGGGACTTATGCAGAGGAGCTTCAAAAGGATATGGAATAGATTCTGATTTAGACAGAGTGAGAAGGGGAAGAGAGGAGAGTGTCAAAGTGCTCCTGAAATCTTTTGGGAAACCAGAGCCTTTCTGAAGAACAGCGGGAGGAGGTGGAAATAAGCACGAAAGATCTGAGGGCACAGTTTTTGGGATTTTGGTTGCAGGGAGGGTGAGGGCATCCATTAATTCCAATTAGTTTGGAATCAACTTTCAGTGTGGTTGTGTAGTACCACAAACCACTGCTGTAGCAAGCTAAGACAACATGTTTCTTTTTTGTTACTAAAAAATCTGCATCCTACAGCCAGCATGGCTAACTAGCAGTTTAGCAATACAAAAAGCTCATGATTAAATCTCTGCACTGGAGTTGCTTTCACAGGCAGGTGCCTGGGTATCTTAACAAGCGAGTTGCGACTCCTGCGAAGTGCAGGGCTTGCCCTTCCTTCACCCACAATGGGGATAATCATCCAGATTTAGGTGCCCCACCAACCCACCATGGGTGGAACAAGCCTAGAATTGGTTGTGGATTGTCGGGGCAACTCATGCCCTCAAACAAGCCACGCTGCAGGAAGTGGTCCAGGTTTGTACAACATAGCAGTCCACCAGAGCTCATCACCCTCTGTGGGTTGGCATGGTGTGCAAACCCAGGTCACAGTACTCCAGCTCTGACTGAGCAGTACGAGAGCCATTTATATTTTTAACCCCTTTCCTAGCCATTCCCACTGTAGAATTTTCTTTCCTCTCTCTCCCAGGACACTTAAGGACAGTGCCTTTGTTTTGCATTATATGTTCATTGCAGTTCTACAGAATCTTCTCTGTAGAAATTCAGTGGAGCAAACTGATTACAAAATTGGCCACACGCAGTGTCAGGCTGCCTCAAGTTATGCCTAAGGATCCTCTCTCTCCCTCAGGCAGTTTGCAGCAGGAGTGGCTTTTATGCAGCTCAGCTGCTTTGCCCTATTCAGAGCCATAAGGGCCTCCGGAGCCTGGATTTGCCCCACTTTAGGTGGTGAAAGCGGAGGCTGTGCCTGGTCCCTGGCTGTTGGATTGAAATGGAAGGTTGCGTTGCAGGTCAGACTGCTTCTAGACCCTCATTCCTGCAGATGGGTCCCCGAAAAAGCACAGTGGTGGCGGGGACTGCCTGGATCATGAAGGGCCGAATGCGGGGAGCAGCAGTGACAAGTGACCAGCCCATCTGGGGGTACTCAACGTGCACATGTAACGGAGTGCTCTCGTACAAAGCCCACAACTCTTCCCCAGCTTTTTCATGTAATGTGGTAATTATGTTTTTCCATGATACATACTCTGTGTAGCCCCATGGGAAATAATTAGTTTCTCAGAACTTTAATGACTGGGTCTGCCTTTTCTGTTCTGTTACCAGTTTGGACTTTCTGTGCCGTGGTTTTCTGTTTGTAGCCGATGGCTGGCTCTGTGCACGAGGGGCATGTTCTGTTCAGCAGAGTGAGCACGTCCCTTACAGCAGCACGGGGCACTGATGTACTTGGGACTCCGCAGCCCTTCCCTGGCCCCACTATAGTAGGAATGGAATAACTGACATTGAGTTCTTATCGCTTTGGTTCTTTAATTATTGCTTTATTTATAAAAAGCCCCACATAAGTGCAGCTTGGTATTTGTCCTAGATGAATTAAGAAAACAACAGAAGCAAGGAAATTGGTGAAACACTGTGCTAAAGTTGAGTTTTTATTTTAGGATTGAAAAAGGGAGAAGATCAAGTCTGTATTTTTCCTTTCTTGATTATGACTCATGCATTTTTTCCCACTGAATTAATGAAAAATGACGTGGAATATAGCAAAGCTCTCTTGCTTCTCTTCATGGAGAGGGGCAGATTGGTGCAAATGATTCTCTCAGTGTCTCCCAAAATATTTCACTTTCATAACATTTACCCTAAAGAGGTTTTATAAGTTGTTGCATACTGGAAGAGAGCTACCATCGCCTGTTAAGTGGTCACTCTCACTTCCAATGGACTAGTTTTGGTTACTGCCTAGAAGTAAGGCTGGGAATGCCTTGAAGGTGTTGAATGCAATCTTGCTCACCTTTAAGGTTAGTTAGGCATTTACAGAATGGAGAACTGTATAAGTAACATTAACATAGTGTTGACTCTGGCTAGAAAAAGCTAAGCCAAACCCCTGAGAGCTGTTCTGAGATGCAGTCCAGCCCTCGGAATGCAGAATGGAGGAGGTTTTCTGGGCTGCTGCAAAGCCGGGGTGCAAAGCCTCTTGCATTCTGAGAGCAGGATTGCTTTTCAGGGCTGCTCCCAGGGGCCACATTCCACGCAAAGGCAGAAGGGTTGGGGGGCTGAAAATAGGAAAAGCTAGCCGTGTATTGCAGCTTGAAATTCTAACAGCCAGTAAGCCTTAGGAGAAGCATTCCAACTGTGTAGTCTGGTAGAGGAAGGAGGGATGGCACAAAAGCCACCTGCTAGGAGCAGGAAGGTTTCCATCGCCTCCCATGCCCATGGCCTGATGCTCATTTGATGATCTCAGAAGCTCTACTGGCCCATTTGGCAGGGGAGTGGCTGCTTTGTAGGACAGCCTCACAGTAGTCTGTGCATGCCTCCTCCAGACCCTACACATGCAACCCGTTTCCCTTGTGGAGGGTGCTTTCAGCAGTCACATTCTCCAGAGCTTACACACATCCTCGCATGTCGTTGGTCTGATGGGTCTGTTGGACCACCTTGGGATGAGCTGGTTATTTCGCATGTCAGTTTCGGCCCTCTTCACTCACCAGTAAGTTCCTGCTCTCCCCCAGTGAAGACCAGTCAGGTCCACTTTGGATCAGCCCTTTGCTTCATAGCCTGTGCATCATGTAAAGGGTCATCCACAGGAAGGGGAAAAACAGTGGTTTGCTACAAGTGTGCATTCATTGAAAGAACCAATGGGGAGATCTGGGGAAGGCCCTCCCTCTGCCAGGCATTTCAAATTGAGGCTGGAAGGTGGGACTAACCCTTCCTAAGCCCCAGAAGCAGTGTTTTCCAAGGTACCTGGCTTCCTTCCTTCCTTCCTTCCTTCCTTCCTTCCTTCCTTCCTTCCTTCCTTCCAGCAGAAAAGAAATCCACTGTTTGGTGAAGAATTTCTGTCACCCAGCATTGTGTAAATATTCTCCAAACAGACTTTATACATGGGGTGGCTTCTCCCCCACAACAAACATCCTGTCTGGTAGGTTAGAGAAAAGCATACAGCAAGCTGGAAGTTGAACCTGGGTCTTGGTCCAGATGTAGGCTAGATAAAGACATCCCATTCTGGAAATAGTACCCTTTCTTCCTTTTGTTCATAGTTTGTAACCTGTTGCTTAAAAGTTGCTTCAGCTTGTCTCTGGTGTAGTATTTTATTTACCAGTCTTCCTACATTGCATATATAAGAGGCTTGCCTCTTCACTAGAAGCAACATAAAACACAGTTAAATGGTCCACATATTTAGACTGGTGAATAAACTTTAAAAATAATATTTTCATTGCTAAAAGTTGTATATGTTATTCCTGCTCCTTTTGTTCAAAATATATCTCAAGTTTTTTGTTCCACCGATTTGTCTTTTGGAAGGGCTTTTCCAGGTTTTTGTTTGGTAGTTCAGTCTCAAAGTATAAACATGATCCTTAGGAATTCAGGGAATGCATATCAACACATGTGATCTCATGTATTCAAAACCCAATTGACTCTCAGGTTCTCTGCCCTTTCAAAAGAAATAATAAAAAGTGATTTTGTTCCCCCACGGTTCCTGTTAGCAGAGGAGTGCTGGGTATGAGCTCTCTTAGTAACTTTCTGCATCTCTGTGCTTTTAGAGAGCTTTGGTAATTGGCCCCATTTGGGAAGCTTGGAGATGGAGCCAAGTACATTTAAGCCTTCCTCAAGCAGGAAACAGGAATTAATGTGCAGCGTTTCTCATCCTGTGGTTTAAATTTTCACTGTTAGGAAGAAACGCGCAATAAACGACTGCCGGGCATTGGTGCTGCTGCTGTTCTTTCTCCTTCTGAGAGAATTAAAATGCAGGTTTTCCAATGTTGTCTTGGGGAAATGGTACTATCAATATTTATCTCAAAGCCATTTATATATGAGCAGAAAGTGGATAGCTAGAAAAAGGAGATTTTTTAGAAAGAAGAAATTCTTTAGAAGGCTGTTGGAAGTTTCTCTGTATTTTGCAAGAGCATGTAGTGGGGGCAGGGCGGGGGCGTGAGGAGAAGGAACGTGAGAGGAGCTGTGTTAGTCAAGGAATACTCTTTCTTCTCTCCCCCCCCCCTTTTGCAGGGCTGCTTTCTTTGCCTAGCGTAAGAATTCTTATTCCTGGGCTATTTAACTTGTAAGGCTCTTTAAACCTCCAGTACAAAACCACATCTCTTCATTTCCTTAGAAACCTGATGTGAGGCTCTCCAGAGGGAGCATTGATCGAGACGATGGGAGTCTCCAGGGTCCGGTAAGCACATATACCCTCTTTTCATCTGTCGAGATAAATGTTTGTTTAATTTTCTCAGTGGAAATGTTGTTAACTTTCCATTGATCTCGGGAGATGGGTTTTGATTTGGTTGGGATTTCCATGATTATTATGTTTCGGCGACAGGCGCTCGGAGGCTCAGCTTCTCTGGAAATGGTAGCGGCAGGAAAATATTCTTCATGCTGCACTTTTTGGGGCGGCTTCTTTTCACACTGCCGCTTCTGAAACAGATGTTTTCTCCCCTTTCAAACAAAGCTCTAATTATTTCTAAAGCAGCTGTGTGGGACCCAGCCAGGTCAGGGCATGTGTTCTTCAGTTAGCTTTGCATTGTTGTTGCTGTCAACAGGAAGCAAAATATTAAAATTAACAGCTACAGATGTTTAATAACTAGCGAGTATTTGCAAAAGTGATGCAGACCTTGTGTTTGGAGTGTGATGATAACTAAGCCATCATTTGTCAAAGGGCAGGATCCAAAAGGTATTGAGTTGCTGGCAAAACAAATCTGTAACAAAGGTGTAGCTGTATCCTGTTAACTGTTAGCAATAACGATGCTAGGAAATGGCTAGTCAGTAATTTGTACCTGGAGGTGACCTGCCATGGCTTCTCCACCCAGAGTAATTACTGTGTTTGGCATATTTTAATTCACTTTTTTCATTACCCCGAGAGGCCACTGCCCTACCCAAAAAGAGTGTTATGGACTCATTCACAACCTTGGATTTATAGGAGCAACAGCTTCATTGCTTTCACAGCAACGCTCTGACTGTCATAATCTGGATGGCTAGGATGGCTGGATAGGGCCATCCAGAGTGGTTTCTGTGCTGTTTAAGTTCCTGGGCAGTATAAACAGGCTGGCTGACAGGCTTGCTGGTTCACCAGGAACACTTGTGCTAATGTTCTGAGCAGACCACGTGGAAAACATAAAACCCCATGCCCATAGTTTTGACTAAGTGGTGGTACTTGGTTAACTCTGCTCTGCCCCCCACTCAGTGACTGCGGCTTCTGCATCTGGAGGAAGGGGGAGCTCTGTCTCATTGGGCCGGGTCTGGGGAAAACGCAGGGATGGCACCTTCTGTGGGGAAGTCAATATTGTGCCAGCAGATGTTGCGCTGAGATTAGTGAGTGGCTTTCTCAATGGGAACAGTGGTCGCTCGTGCGGCTGTAAATCATGCTGCACCGAGATTACACCTCTGTTGTCCAAATGTGCAGGTGTGCTAATTGATGGGCTAATTAAAAAGAAGCTGTGTGTTCATCAGAATACAAGACACTCAGTGCTTCAAGACAGATGGCTCTGGTGCTTCCAGTCAAAAGACATTGTACAGCCGTTCCGTCATTTGCTCCTTAATGGATTTATTTTTGGAAAGAAAAATGATGGAAAGAGCAGTGGAGGATTAAAAAAAACCAAACCCGGAGGTTTCCATTTGAAGGCAACATCATCTGCAGCCTCTTTAAAATTCCATGAATGAGGCAGGGAGACTGCCTAAGAAAGGGCTTGTCTGAAAACTCGTCCTGCGTTCCAGAGACACTCTTAGCAATGCTACATTTTGCCTCTTATAAAAGAGTATCCTTTCTGAAGATAATATGCATACATTCTAGACAAGCGTGTCTGAACTAGCAAGTACAGTGACGGCAACAGGGCAGACTGACAGAAATGGCAGGGCACCTCCTCCCCCGCCCCCCGCCCCCAGTGTTCATCAGGATGCACCCACATGCACTCCTGGGCTGTGGCGTTCTGGGAGTCCGGACGCAAATAAGAGGTTTAGGACAGATAAAAGGAAGTACTGCTTCACACACTGTGGTTAAAACTATGGAAGGTGATGGCCACCAGTCTGGATGGCTTTAAAGAAGGACTGGACAGGTTCATGGAGGAGGAGACTATCAGTGTCTGCTCGCCTTGCTGGCTGTGGGCTCCCTCCTTCCCCAGAGGTGGCTGCCTGCGTGCACCAGTTGCTGAGGAGCTGGGCAGGGGGAGGTCCTGCGCCCGTCCTGCTGGAGGGACCCTGTGGCCAGCTGGTTTGCCACCGTGTGTCCGGAGTGCTTGACTAAACGGAGCTTGGGTCCGATCCAGCATGGTTTTTCTCATGTTCTAGCTGTTCTCCCAGGGACAGGAAGCTGCCGAAGTGACACAGGAAGGACAGGAAACAGGGCAGTGACGATCTAGGTGTGGAGGGAGGTGGGTGGTCCGCTTGCTCTGCAGTGGAGGCAGCTTCTTATTTTTAGGAGACACAGCTGAGGCTGTAATTCTTTTTCTTCATGGGCCTTCCATTCATTTCCAAAAACTGTATTCTATGAAGCGTGTCTCACACTGCTTCAAGTGTAAGCTTGCCTGGGCCGTATGCCTTGCCATCATAAGGGCCAAGCCAGGCAGGAGGGGGACAATCCTCTCTATTTGGTCTTACGTCTGACCAGGTAGTTTATAGCATGGAAGATGAGTCCAGTTTTAATATCAAAGGTGTCACCTGGATTAGGAAAGCGGAATCCTCCCGATTTGCCTTGCCTTCCTTGCCTCTAATATGTCCTCTCAGGCGCTCTTCAGTTTCTGCATGGGGGCCAAATATGATGAGGGGAAGAGCATGGGGAGCGGGATGGTCTGTCTCCTCCCTTTCATGCCACTTTTGGTGTTAATATGGACCTCACATCGGCGGGTAGACATGTGAGCACCAAACACGGCTCTTGGCGTCGTGTACCCCTTGGCCTTCAATTCTGCACTTTCACTTTTTGGTTCTGCTCTGTTATTTGGGGTAGCTTCTGCTTTCTTTCAAGTTTTCAGTAGAACAGCCAGCTAGACGGTATTGAATGAGCACAGTATGGTTAATTATCCTGCATGTATCTGAGTGGCAGCTGGGTTTGTAGCTACCGGGGCTGTTTGCTGCACGCACAGTCTGGCATGTCATGGATTCAGTAATGCAAATGAGTGCAGCATGTCACCCAGGCCGGGTCATTTTTTGCTTTATTCACAAAGTCATCTTAAAATGTAGTTCGGGTAACTCAGCATTCCTGTGTTTTGCTTTACAATATTTTAAATTCTGTAGATGAGGGGAATCTGTCTCCTTTACCCCAGGTTGATTTTTCTGCAATAAAATGCCCCTTTCCATTTCCATTATACCTTTGCCTATATCAGCACTTTTAATTTTGAAATAAAAAAACCTCTCTGCGGATGCACTTCTCATAAAAGCTGACAGGGCTTTTCTAAATAAACATTTTCCTAAGTTCCCAAGAATTCAACAGCCACACAACAAATATAAATGTCGCGTTTGTTATGCAGTGACTGAACAGACTTTTATCTGAGTTGGCAGAGGTTTGCAGAAATATGATGAGATTTCAGTCCAGCCATAAAACCTATCCAAGTTTTATTAATCAGGGCTGTTTGTTCCCATTTTATTGTGAAACGGCTGTAATTGCAGTGAAATATATGTTAAGCAATACGGGGAGACCAAAGGTGTGAACTTTCCAAATTGCAGCTCGGTAGCAAACATGCCTTTTTCTCCGAGGAATGGTGGCAGTGACCTGACCTATCACACAGAGAGCAAAATAGCATGAGACTGAAAGGATTCCTTGGGAGCATGATTTATACTGGTAGTCGCTTTCCCTTGAAATATGAGAGGATGGGAAAGGAGAAATATGCTGGAAATTCTTGTGGTTGGATAAGCCTGATGCTTAAGGTTTCAGAGATTAGACGGATGGTTTTCTTTGCTCATAAACACTGTGAACAGATGAATTTTGTTTTTTCCCCTTTTCAGGCGTCTAATCAGCATATTTATCAGCCTGTGGGTAAACCAGGTAAGTCATAAATAGATAACTTTACAATTTCAGTGTAAGCTCCCAATATCTTTCCCTCTGTCTCACGCATTTTCAGAAAGTGCACTCAATTCTGGGTTAAGCTGCAGTCCTTTGCAAATTTAGAGAAAGAGAGAGAGAAGGTCTCCTCACAACATGCTCCAACCAAGGGTGGACTGGGAGCTGTGGGTCTTTTTTCTCTCGAAATCTGCAAAGGATTCCAGTGTTAGCTACAGTTTTCAAAGCTCAGCTGCCAGGTAGAGGTCTCCGAGTACCCATTCAGCAGTAAAATCTAGTGTTCAGTGGTTCCTTTGCATCCACAGCTGGTTTGAGACCCATGGCCTAAATCTGTAAGCAAACCATTAACCCCAAACTTTAGCTACCAAGCCCTGCACTTGGCTTCGGCTTGGTGGTTGTAGCACAATCCACAGGGTACAAGGTGCTGATTTGAAAGACAGGAGTTCAGCAAAAGGTTCTTAACTCCTCATATTCGGGAATGTGTTACTGCTTTTCTGTTGGGGGTGAAAGTGCTTAGGAAGTCTGGTCTAGATCAGTATTCCTGAGCCAGGTTGGGGAAGGCTGAGTAGGTTATTCTCTGATACCTACTACCCCTACTCTGTGTTTGAATTAACATGATAATGGTAGTCCCTTTATGATTGCTTGCAATGTATTTTCTTACTAGACCACTCGGCCCCACCAAAGAAACCACCTCGTCCAGGAGCTCCCAGCCACCTGGGCAGCCTTGCCAGCCTGAACAGCCCTGTGGACAGCTACAACGAAGGGGTTAAGGTATATCCTTAATGCCACATTGACTATCAGCTCTTATTACTTATCAGGGTACTGGTGGAATTGAGCTAGTGCTGTTATTAACATAAAAGCAGGTGGAAGCCTACAAAAACTAATGACAGATCAGTGCATTTCTGTTCCATGTCAGTTTTTCAGGTATTCATTCATATAGTCATTCTGTCCCATTTCCACATTAATTTGTAGACTTTGAACACACACACACAGAGCGTATGTTTTTTGTACTCCCTTTACTGTATATATTTTCATGTGTGCTTTGATAAAATTTTAAGCAAAAAAGAGCTTTGTTGCAAAAATTCAAGGAAGTGTGCAATCATTAGATAGATGTATTCCAGTCTGTGTTGGTTTATTTAGAAACGTAGAGCAAATGAAGTTCTTGGGTAACCTTATCCAAAACTCCTGTTGGCCAATCAGAGTGGGTGGGTGCAAAGCAATTTCTCTCCTTTCCACACACAGTTCATGCAGGTGTTGAATCCCCAGTCACAAGTGAATATACAAGGGATAACTTTGGGACCCATCTGCAACCGAAGAATCAAAATGAAGTTAGGTGCTGCAGCAAGTGTACTTCTTACCGTGGATAAGGAAAAAGATAATGTGTATATTACGGTGGAATGTGGGTGCTGCCTTCAATTATTCTGATTGCAGCATGGAGCCATATCGTGTTTGGTGATGCATGCATATTTGGTATACTTACTTGCTAGATAGACAAATGTGGCTTTTCTGAAGTTCAGGCAAAATCCAACCCAATCCACAGATGACAGTACCCCCGCCCCCCACCACTGTCACTAGGAAGTTTGCACTTTCCTCCCGCCAAACACATGTTTCCTTTCCCCCTCTCTCCACTGGAATGTCCTTCCTGAGAGCTTCTGAAATTTAAATGGGCCCTCTGGCCTGATGGGTTTCTGTACTCCCGCCCTATTGAACTTCAAGGTGTGCTGTCTGGTAGAGTTACGGTGAATGACATGGTAGAAACTGATAGGTGTCTTTTCCTCTGGTGTTTCTAACTTACCATGTGAAGAACTGTTTGACTTTACATTCTGTCTGAGTGCAGAACGGAGCATTACTTCCCCACAGCTGCTTTCTGTCTCCTGGGACGCAGGTAGTTCAAAGCTTCCTTCATGGCTGGAAGCTACCCTTGGGTAGGGTCATGGATCATATGCTTCCAAAGTTAATGTCATTTTGACGGACTGTCTTAGCTATGACACATCACAGAGAATGTTATCTCCTGCATTGTTGTCCTCAGTGCTACATTTTGTGGGGGAATGTGAGTAAAATGGTTAGCAGTTCAATTTCTGTCAGCAGTGATTCAGCTGATTATAGAGTAGCCACTTTGTACCCCGCAGGACAGCTGGAGTATTCATGGAATTTGGTGCCAATACAATCTTTCATTAATTGATTAATGAGTCATTCCGCTCGGTGCAACCAAGTAGGGGTTGGAATCCTGTGGTGTGCGTGCCATACAGAGCCTGCTCATGCTATTCAAGTCACACGTGGCTTGGCTAAACTAAGCATGAGCAGGCCCACCGTGCCAGCGCATTGCCTCACTTCCCCAAGACCACTTGTCCCGCTTCTCCTTTCAGCGTGTGATGGTGACTTTGCGAAAGAGCACCGCTCTCCTGTGCATGAAGGTCCCAGCCACTGCTCATGGGAGGGGTTACTTGCTGTACTTGAGGCTTCTAAAGTGTTTCCCAGGGTGGTTGCTTGGTCGCCCTCCACATCCAACTGTGCTTGAGCAGGGAATTTTCCACCAAGATATAAAGCCCTCACATTTGGGCCCCTTGCGCTGTGTGGCACTTCTTGCATCAGCCCTTCCCTTCTCCCCCACATTTCCCTTGGGTGGGATTTGCAGCATGACTGCAAGCTCACGTTGACCTGGTTATGGCCTTTTCTGTGCTATTCTGGGGCTCAAAATCAGTGTAGCAGCTTGGGCCCTCTGACATTTTATCTTAGCTACCCTTAAGAAGGCACTTGCTTTTTTATTTCTTGGCTTTTGGAAATGCCATGCTGTCTTAAATGAGAAAACCCCAGCCTTTACCTTGCTGAAATAGAATGGCACCTCGGAGTATGTTTGTACAAAAGCCTGGGCATCAAGAACCCCAGAGCCATGCGAGGCTTGTACAAGTGCTTAGGCGTGCCTGGTGGATTTGGACATTTTCTTCCAGCCCCTGGGGCCCTGCCACCAGTGGGGCTTTGGCAGACTCCTCAGCCTCAGTGCTTGGCGCCCCTTGTTCTGGGAAACACAAACGCCCCAGTCCCCTTGAGTGGTGCAAGAGTAGCTTCTTGGATCTGGTGTCTGAGCAAAGGCTGAGGCTCCCTGTTTCTGTGCATGGAATCCACTTCGAAATCCCCCAGCCTCTACCCACGGTCACTAAAAGCTGGCTTGCTTTAGTTTCAGAGTGCTTGAGTGCTGAGGCAGAAAGTAGATGCGTGCTTGATAGTAAGCTGAAGACCCCGGGTGACTTCCCAGCGGAAAATCGCTTCACCGGGAACAGCGAATGGGGCGACGTTTCCCCTTCTCCATGGGCTGCTCCTGGCACTCGTCCCTTTGGACCGTTGTGGGCAGTTTTGTGGCATGCTGAATCACTGCGCCACCTGAGCAGGGCTGCTGAGCGCCTCAGCAGAGTTAGGCGCATTCTTGGTTTTCGCTGAGGATCTCATCACAAAAGTTGAGGATAGAGGCAGGTTTTTCTATATGAAGTACAAGGTTCAGCCATAGAAGATGTGCTCCCTTTCTGGACTTAGGGCACATGGATTGCTTGATGTCGGCACTGGATTGTCTGAAATGCACACAATTAGATATGCATAAGATATTAAGTCGCACCTCCCCCACGTGGTGACGGAAGTGTGTATTGGTGCAGCTCCTCAAGCACTGGTGAGTCGTGTTCTGGCAATTTGCTAAGATGAAAAGGGAGAGAGAGGGAGTTGGACCCCAGGTAAACCATGCATAGGCTACAACAAAGCCATGGAAAATACGACTGACTCTTAAATTGCTCTTAAGCACGGGTTAGACAGATTCTTGGAGAACAGCTCTGTATTCTAGGACCATGTTCTCCAACCCATGGCCAAGCTGGCTGGGGAATGCTGGGAGTTGCCTTCTAATACAGCCAGAGGGCACCACTTTGGGGAAGCCTGATCCAGGACCTCTCAGAGGGACCTCCCTTTGCAGAGAGGCTACCAGCTGCTGCAGGCAAATGGTGTAGGGTGGCCTTTGTCATTTTGTGAGCTTCCCACAGGCCTCAGGCCAGCCATGATGACTGACTGATGGTCAGCCCCAGCAAGGAATCATTTTCTGCATTTCAAGGTCAGTTAGAATGAATTTTCCAAGTTTATTTTCTCAGGGGGAAAAAGAAACATTTCTGAACAGAGCACCCTAGCCTTTCCCAAGAGGTCTGTTCTCATTTGGTGGTGAAAACAGAGATTCTCATTAAGCAAAGTCTATTTTGGAGCTCCAGGGGGAGGACGTGAAGAGAAGGCCCAGTTTATTCCCATCTGTGGAATTCTCAGTCAAGCCATCGATGGCAAGAGGTCTGTCAAAAATGGATGCAGCACCCTTTTCCTTCTCGCTAAATGTTTTGAGGTTGTCTTGGTGTTTAGAAGCTAGCATAAGTAGATGCAACTGGCTGGGGTACAGGGCAATTGTTTTGTTATAGGCAGTGCCAGAGCCTTTCAAGCTGCCAAGCCTCAGAAATTTTTGTTTTTTTGTTAAGGATGGTTTGCTAATCTCAGTGTTTCAATCAGTAATTCCTATATAAGCATTTTTTAAAAATCTGTGGGGGAGTGGATGGGGGAAGGAGACATAGCCCTTCTTAAATTGGAATAGGGAAATTCCCAGGCCTCTAGGGTTACTTGGCCCTGCGTTCCCCAATGTGGCCATCTGAGAAAGGGTGGCTTCTTTTGGAGGAGGCTGAATAGTGTTTCGTTGTCCCTGACTGTCTTTCATCCTGGAGTCAGTTTTCCTGGCCCTCCCTCAGGAAGCCGCAGAACCTTGTGTTTTAATATAACGTGGCTAGGTCAGAACCTGCCAAGCTAAACAGAAGCTTTTCCTGAGATGTTTAGGTCATACGAAAGCAATTAGTACTAGGTTGAATGCAGAAGTCCTCTCTTCTTCGAACACAAATAGAAATTACAAGAAGGGAGCTTCTTCATCTGGAAGAATATTGAGCTGGGTGCGTTTTCCTTAATTTTATTTTTTAAAACGCAAGTGATTTGCTGGGGGAAAGGGGCCAAATATTGCTCAGATAACTGTAGCTGTTTAGTTTGTGGCGGAGCGGTGTTACTGTTGGCTTCAGAAATGGCAGAGAAACATGAAATGTGAGCATCCAGTGAGGCAGCTGGATTCTTATGCCAGGAGTCGAGTGGGTCGCATCTCACTGGCCTCCCAGCCATCATCCTTCAGCGCAGCATTTGGCCAAGAGCTTGACCAAAGACAGGAGCGGAGCAATTAGATGACTAAAAAATTCCTCCTACTGAGCACTTCCCCTCCCCTCATAACATCATAGGCATAACATCCAGAAAAACTGAAATTTCCTCTGCTTGTGCAAAGAATCTGGTGGTTGAGGCGCTTCCACTGCTGTCTCTGCGTTCGAGAGAGCCCCTTCAGGCTGCTAATCCCTTTGCTTTTGGCGGACTGGTTTGCCCCTGGCTGCTTGCATGCTCTCTTGTCAGGGGTGCATGGCAGATAACCTTTCCTTTCAGGGCCCAGGGCAGGGACCCCAGTTCTGCAGAAGGCAGAGGAAGTCGTGCATTTGAATGCAGCCGAGCCCAAGTGGGCCTGGATACACTTCGAGGGAGGGGCTTTTTAACAGGTCCCTTTTGCTGTGGCTTGTACTTTGGATTTTTTCTTCCCTCCGCCTTGCTGCATTTTTATTAACACTGTGTTTTTTTTTTCCCTTTTTCCTTTTCTTCTGGTAAATTTCTTTAACCGCCCTTCCAACTCTGCTCGACACTAGCCATGGCGGGTAAGCACTCTGAACATGTGTGTGTTGCCGTGTGAATGACCGACTGTGCAAGTGCCCTCTTGCTCTTCACACATGTCTTTGCATGTGCTGCTGCCACAGCTGCAATCTTTCAGGCCAAAATTGGACAGGAACCACTCCGGTCCTCGTCCCTTGGGGGAGAACGTGCTCGCTTCACAGCAGGCTCGGAGGGGACTGGAGGGCCGGTGTGCCGTGGTGTTGCGTTGGTGCCAGGGCAGCCACCTCGCCAGGGCTGCAGCTGGGGAGTGTTCAGGCAGCCGCAGGCATTTGAAGGGCCCGGGGGCCTGCGCATCCGGAGGTGGCTCGGAGGAGTGCCGCGGAGGAACTTTGCGCGTGCTTCTCGGTGCAGCACCTCCTTGCCATACCAGCTCACCCGGCCCTGGCATGTGCAGCTGGCTGCTGTGCTGATGCCGCTTCCTCCCCCGCCAGGTGACAGGGCGCCCCACAACTGACCCCGAGCGTGGGAAGAGGTTGCAACTGCAAGGCCCTTGCTTGCCCCACTGCACAGTCAGGCTGCCGAGAGTGCCGCTGAAGGCATTGAAAAGGGGCAGACGAGGCAGCCCCCTTCACACCTGCTCCCTCCCTCCATCCCATGCAGGTGTCACAGAAACACAGAAACAAACAGAGCGAGTCAGAAGGGGCCTCCCGGGCCATCTAGTCTGACCCCCGGCTCCAGCCGGCTCCGCTCACGACATGCCCACCATGTTGTCATGTGCTCACCGGCCCTCTTGATGCTGTTCATCTGCAAAATGTGTCCCGGCAGTGTGAGTGGCACAAGGCCCTCCCATTTCAGGGAACTGGCTGGACTCGGGCCACTCCCTAGAGGTGGCTGGGGGTGCACCAGAGTGGCCAGGCAGTGCCTGTGCCATAGCAGCACTTGCACGCAGGCTTCCTACAGCGTGTCGATAGGGCGCACAGGATTTTGGGCCTCTCCCGGATGCCTGTCCCGGCCTTCCAAGCTCTCCTGCTTGACCAGGCCCCGCTTAGGCACCAGTAATGCATTGCCTTCTCCTCAGACCATCTACTCCAGGGGTGGGCAACAGATGTCCTGTCCAACATCAAGAGTGAAGGTCATGGTTTTGGAGTGAGGAGTGGCGTATCTAATGGCCATGGAACACCTGAAGTGTCAACACTTGCTTGTCACCAAGTTAGTTTGATGCACTGTGCACTCCACAGATGCCAAGTACAGATGCCATTTCTAAAGAGCCCCTGAACCTCCTGCTGTTGCCCATCCTGGCCGCCTAATATCTGCTAGTTGACTAGTGTCACTGTCCAGGTCCCACTACCAAAGAGTTTGAGGGAAATGCCTAGAGAGGCTTACCTGGAGACTTCTTCCTTGGGAAAATAGGCTCATCCAAGCCCAAGCTAAGGGGCCTTCGGCCAGTGTTGCTCCTCAGCAGTGTGACCCCTCCTTTCCAAAGTGCCTGCTTGGCACACCACAGGGCTGTGGTCGGCTGGAGCAGTGCTGTGACTGAGGGGGGCCGAATGGAAGATCATCCATATTCTGCACACTCCCACCCACTTTCACTCGGTGGGTCAGCACCGCCTCTCAGCCATCTCTCTCGGTAGCACACAGCCTTTGGGTGGCCCTGGCTGCCGCAAAGGCGGAGGATGGTTCCCTTTCTGATTGCAGTGAAGCTATGGATTTACCCACATTTTCTAGCTATGCATCGGCAGGAACTTGGCTTGTGTTACAAGTACATTTGGTATAATCCATTTGTATCTGTACAGAAAGGGATGCAAATAAATCGAAGTTGTTTTTAAAGTAGACTTCTCATTGTCTCCACCAAGAAACCTTCTGCTGCTGCTGCTTTGTTAATGCAGCAAAGAGGTTATCTTAGCTTATTGTATCTGTAACAATTCTAACCTCACCAACCATCTCCAATCCATATTCTGCATCATGTCAACAAGCTACCTGCCCTTCCTTCCTTGTCTGTCTGTCGAACAAGCATCAAAGGAGCAATAGTGAACTTTAAAATCCAGCTGTTCAGAAAATGCTGCCATGCTGTCCAGTGTAGGCTGCCCACATCTCCATGCATCCCAGAGTGGTAGGAATTACGTGTACTTACTTGGTAGGCACAGCATAATCAGAATGATGTTGAAAGGTTCTGGAGTCAAGCCATACTGTGGAGGAGTTGGGAAGTATTCACCTGTATAGTGGCCTCTTGCTTGCTCGTGGTCCCTTGTTGTTAGTGTCTTGGCTTGGACTACATAAATTAACTTACTTTGAAGTAAGGACGTCTGATCTTCTGTCCAACCCAGTGTCTGCAAAGACACATCAGTTAATAGACCAGTATGCTGTAAAACGGATTTAAGCAAACCCAAGCCTGCAATAACCATGTCCCTTGTGCAGTATTTCCATCAAGTATAAGAGCCTTGAAAATCATGCTCTAAATATTCAGGGGTATACAGAAATCCTGTGAAATCAGCAAAATTCTAATGTGAGGTAAACAGTCTAACTTAGTCACCTCAGATGCTTTAAATCAGCTTTCTCAATATTTGCTACTGAATCCAAGAAGTCCGTTTGAAGTTCCATCAGCCTGGCCATGCCATTTTTGTTGCTAAGGATAGAGTCCTCTTGAAGCTAAAAGTTCATAAAAGGTAGATGAGCGCCACCTGGTGGGGAAGAATAGGAGATAAACCCTTCTTTCTTCCAGATTCAGCCACAAGAGATCAGCCCTCCTCCGACAGCCAACTTGGATCGCTCCAACGACAAGGTGTATGAGAACGTCACAGGCCTGGTGAAAGCTGTCATCGAGATGTCCAGCAAGATCCAGCCAGCACCACCAGAGGAGTATGTCCCCATGGTCAAGGTAGGCACAAAGCCTTTTCCACAGCGTGGCCTTGAAGAGTGTCATGCGCAGCATGAATTCGCCTTTCAGGCAGACAATGGGAAACTGCAGACAGACCTGTCGTACGTGGCAGGTGTGTTTGTGTACATACATGTGTGCATCATACTCAAGTTAAATCAAGATTTTGAACCACACCTATGTGTAGTGAGATGGGGTTTGCAGTTGTGTGTTAGTTTGCGCTTAGCATTTTCATGGTGGTTTCACAACTTCCATCGTACTGACTTTCTCTAATTCTTACAACAACCCCTTAAGGTGAGTTAGTTTTACTATCCCACTTTGCAACAGGGATAGTGAGGCTGAAAGATGTGGTCTAGAACGGCCATGTTCTTCCCGTTGTGTTGCTTTGTGCTTGTGCTCTCAGAAGTCGTATGGGAGCAAGCATCGCTGGACACATTTATGGATTTCTGCCCAAGGGAGCGGGCACAGGACGATGCCGATACTCAGAGAGCTGCTCAGCCAAGGCCCCGTTTTGCTACCTAGCAGGGCAGTGTGGGTGTTGCTTTCCCTGGCCTGCTTCCGTGGTGTGGTGCATGCCAAAGCCACACAGGCGCTGTGGCTCAGGCAGCTCGGTCTCTTTGAATGGCTTTCAAGAGAGTCAGGCCGCGGATACTACAGAAGGAACCGGCCATGTTTTCAAGCATCCCAGGTGGACAGAAGCTGTGCATGCTTATAGTACTTGAGTTCGTTGGTCTGAAGGAATACAGGCAGGACTGAGTAAGGCATCATCTCTCATAGGCACTAAAGCTCAGCTGTATGTCCCAGGTGCACATTATGCCAGCCCCACGTAAATTCTTTAAACCCTGGGTTGCCATGAAAAAGTGGGACCAGGTGAGTATTCTTAGCAGCTTGATCTGCTGCCGAGGCAGCTAAGTGACCCGGGAGCCCACCATCCATGAATTGCTCCTTGTGATGTCCCAGCCATAATTCTGGGCTGCAGGGCAGGGGGAGACAGCACAGAGCTGGGACTCGGTTCACTGTGCTCGCGCTCTTCTGCTTGTGTGTGACAACCGAAAGATAAAAAATAACTTGGGTTGTCATAACACACAGCTGTAGTCAGTGTGATAAAGGCTAATTCTGCAGAGTCTTCAAGCATTGAACTAGACTCTGCTTTCTTTCAGCTCAGCAGTTAAAATGGATTTTAGGGACTGCAGGCTAAGTGTTGCAGAGCATTTCAGAGTACACAGGATGATGCTTTAAGAATGTAATGCAGAATGATCTCTGAGCTCTCAAATTAGGGTACATATGTCTCTGTGTGTCGCTCTGTGCTAATGGTATTTGTTCTAATACTAATTAATCATGCTTTGATTTTCTTTTACTAGGAGGTTGGTTTGGCACTACGAACTTTACTAGCAACGGTAGATGAGACCATCCCGGTATTCCCAGCAAGCACTCATAGAGAGGTAGATTTATTCACACCATAATTGTTGCAGACTAGGGCTTTCGAACCCTTGAAGTATCAATTCTAACAGCAGCAAGGTTTTGGGTTCTTTTTATTAAGGCAACCTGGAAACGATTTGCAAGCAGAGCGAGTTGAGGCTCACACCAGAGGCACAGAAAAGCTTGGATGTTTATGGGATCCTTATGTTATCTTACTGCATTTCTGTACTGTCCAAGAGCCAAAGCCCTTTGGGCAATTTGCAGAAATTAAAGCTCACAAATACTTTTGAGGTTTAAACCAGGATTGAAACCAGAAGCAGGCAAAAAAATCTAAAAACAGTTTTTCAGACTGTGACCACCCCCTGCTTGAGAAATTAAGTTGGGTTATTTCCCACCTACTTGAGTGGTGGTTCAAGAAAGTACACGTGTGCTTTGTGAAATCCCAACTCATCCTGTCTTTTGGGGAACCAAGGCCAAGATAAATTAAAGTAGGCTCACATTCCTCCATCGTGTGAATGCCCACAACTTGTGCATTGTGGAGGAAGTAAAGTATGAGTCTGTATACAGTTTATGTTGACAGATCTTGTCTAAGATACCTTGACTCAGTCATGACTTATTTCCCTTGCATGTGCTGGGCAGGTTCACATAATTACCCTCATCAGCACAGCTTGTTGTGTACTGTGAACTCAGCCAGGTTGCCTGTTGCCATAGGCAACAGGCCACTGGGAATCTTACAGCCCACAAGTTCTGGATGGCTTGTTACCCATGGCAACAACCCTCCTTGGCTGGACTCATGCAACAGAAGCCATGATGCATAGGGTAGAAAGAATGTGTGCAGGGTGGGAAGCAACCCTCATGTGAACCTAGAGATTGTCAAGATCCCTTTTAATACACAACTGAACCCCCCATCATGCTTGGATCGACTCTTTGTGTCCCCCCCCCCCCTTTTTGAGATTGCAAAAGCCAGCTAATCTAACCAGCAGCACCCGAGAGGGACTGCCCAAGGCTGCCCGCTTGCCTTTTTGCACACAGAAATCCTTTTGCATTGTTTTCTGCACATTAAAATATTTGCAAAGACACTTGTCTGTCTTTCTGCTTTTGCTACTGCAGTCACGAGCATGTTATGCCAAAGTCCTCTGCAGTTGCTACTGAGGCGAGTTTGCAGTAGAAATTCAAGACAGAAGGGTTCTTTCCCCAAGGGAATATTTTGGGGGAGTTACACCCTCTGCTTGCCAAGATCCCTTTTTGGAGATGCGACTGCCTTTCATCCGTAAGAGGGCCAAGTTTTTCCCATTTCTACCAAACCCTTTAGGGCCGAGGAAGAAACGGCTTCCCACCAACTTGTTTAAAATGATACTCAGTTTGACAGCGTAAGAAATAGGATGTTCAGTGGAACGTGACTGGAACATGCAGGACCGTATCTCTTTTCAGTTGTGTTCAGGCACGACCACCCAAAATTGTGACACCAGCTCAGTGTGAATTAGTGTTGTGTGAACTCAGTCTGTGCTAATTTAGGCAGGGGGAGAATAGTAGCTGCACCACCAGCTAGGTTTGAGCAGCTCTTTATTTTCATTTCAAAATGCAGTTCAAGGCAGTTTTTCTACAGCTGCAGGTTCTTTTCATTCTTTTGTCTCCCAGTGTGCTTAGCTGGCTATGCAGTGATGGTGGCTGTCAAATCACGGGTTTTTCAGTCACTGTAACAACTTTCCTTGTGGGTTGGGAAGGTTGTCAGCACTTCAGTGAAGTGCCTGCAGTGCAGTGGAGTGATTTGTGCCCTTCTGAATGAATCATTTTCTCTTTTACAGATTGAGATGGCCCAGAAACTCTTGAACTCTGACCTTGCTGAACTGATAAACAAGATGAAGCTGGCACAGCAGTATGTTATGACTAGCCTGCAGCAAGAATACAAGAAGCAGATGCTCACAGCAGCTCATGCTCTTGCTGTGGATGCCAAAAACTTGCTGGATGTTATTGACCAGGCCAGGCTAAAATCTATTGGGCAGTCCAGGCCCCACTAGATGCAGGGAGAGGATGGCATTTGTATTGTACAGCTTGGAGAGTATTGCTCACTTGATAAACATTTAGCCTTCCAGCCGAAATGAGAACGGACCTGGTTTGGTCGTGGATATCCCGCTTAACCAAGAGACAGCTGTTAGTTCTCTCTCCTATCTTCAGGCATTTTTTAAAATGGTCAACAGCACCAAGAAAGATGAGGTTCAGACCATGGTGACTTTGATGGAACTCTGTACAGAATCCCTCCCAGCAGAAATATTTGAAATGTTTCGCATCATGCATAATGTGGATCTCCTCAAAGTTGAGAGACTTCTGATGAAAGTCTTTGGCAAATGATGTATCCAAACCGCAGGACTGAGATATTGTGAAGAATTCTGGGAAACCCCAGGGCTGAGAATTCTTGATCACAATGTAAGAACTGCCCAGACTGGAATACTTTTTTTATTAGGACACTTAATGCCGCAAAATGCTAATCACAATTTACAGAGAAAAATTTAAAAAGCTATATTTTCAAAACGTCTCATTTCAAAACAAGCTAGTCTTCATGTTTTCCCTACCCCTCTCTGTGGATGTATGTGAACCATTGGAGCAGAAAGTAGTTGTAGACCACAACAGAATTTGCCTTTTTCACCAGAATAACGCGCCAGTTTTTTGTAGCAGTCGTTTTCCTTGAAAGTGAAAAAGAAGCTGCTTTCGACCAGAGCAACTCAAGAGCTGCATTTAGAAGAAACAAGTTCTGTAACCATACATGTTCCCCATTTTTATATAATTTATAAAGATTAAAGCCATGATGAATATTTTAAACATGCTTGAATCGTTAACTTGTGCACTGCTAAGAATGCAGTTTTCCAATTTTAATGTTGGACATGCACACAATCCTCTGGGAGGGAACATGGCTGTATCTTTGTTTGGAGGAAGGGGGATCTTTACAATGGTGGTGCTCTTTGCAGCCTAGATTCTAGCACACGCACAGCCTGTTCTGCAGCTTCCAGATGTGGTAATGCTGTTTATAACACGAGAGAGTTCGGGAATTTTGTACACCTGCTACCTTGGATGTGATCACCATGGCTTTAGGTCAGCCTTCACCAACCTAGCGCCGGGCTGCTGCATTGGACTTCAGCTCCAAGCCAGCATGCTTCATGATCAGGAACCTTGCAAATTGTAGCCCCCATCAAGAACACAGCTTTTTATTGATGAACTTTGATTACAAGCTCTTAACCTGGACTAGGGGAGTTAAGAAGCACCAGGAAACAAGTTAGTGATTGTATTATACCTGTATTCGCTCTCAGAAAAATCAAGGACACATCTTCCCTCAAAGTTTCTAAATCTACAATTATCAACCTGCCACAGTACAGCTGTTTAAAGTAACACATGCTTTGGAGAAAGTAGAGAGGAAGATGCTGGGTCATCCCATGAAGCTGACTGGTGGGAGGGTGAAGACAGACGGAAGTACTTTTCACACAGCCTATAGCTGAACTGTGGAATTCGCTGCCATGGGAAGTGAAGGCCGCTTATCTGCATGGCTTTAAAAAGGGCCTGGAAAGATTCACAACAGAGGCATTTATCAGTGGCTACTAGCCCTGCTAGCTGTGCGCTTCCTCTTTCATCAGAGGTGGTATGCCAGCACACACCAGTTACTGAGGAGCCTGGGTAGAAGGCCTTGCACCCATCCTGCTGGAGGGATCCTGTGGGTAGCTGCTTTGCTACTGTGCGTACAGAGTGCTGCACCAGATGGACTTTTGCTCTGTTCCAGCAGGTTTTCTATTCTTAACCTCTCCAAGTCTGAGAAATGCACATTTTCAGGGATAGCACAACTTCTATAGGCATGTAATACAACTAGGCAAAGCTGGGCAGGGATTCTTAACTTTCTAAATGGGGAGAGGAGGAAAGTGTTTAAAAATACTCCAACCGACAGAACTTAATACTAAGTTCTGCGTCATCAGCTGGTTCTGTGAACCCATTGATGGTACAATAAATCTTACCCTTCACCTTTCCTACCCATGCTATTGCTTTTGCACTGGGAAAAATGAATTTCCATGATTAGACAATCTTCAAGGAGTAAATATTAGACCCTGCTTAATAACCAAAGAATTCTGAATACTTAGCTAAGAAATACAAATAAATGGGTTTTGTTTTTAAACCCTGTAATACAAATCTCATTCCCAGGACTGAGAGCTCAGTTTGAAAGTCATGGATGGCTAGCCAAAAATTACTTGCTATAAAACATTACTGCTCATTATTTAGAATTCATCAAAACTTGAGCATAACTGCACGAATGAGCCCTAGTTCAGAATTCATAGTCCGTCCATAGTTCTCTATCAGTCACAGACACACTCCAAATCTTAGCAAAGAATTAAAGAAGTTTATAGCTTTAAAGGTTGTGACCATACCTACAGCAATTCCAAAAGCAAGCCAAATTTCAGTTACAAGTGTGCATCTTTATTATAAAGAATACAAATGTTAGCTTAGTCAAAGAGACCAAAGCCCATATCGTCATCAGATTCTTCTGACTCTTCCTTCTTTTCCTCCTCTTTCTTCTCCTCAGCTGCAAAATAATTAATACTGAATTAGAGATGGCAGTGATCTCAGCCTGTCACATTAAAATGTGAATGCCCAGCAAAGTTGCTCTCCTTTACATGATTATATAGAAAGAAAGCCTAGAACTCCCAGTATGTCCATCTAGGGCAGGGGAGGTACCTGCTATCAGCATAGCTAACCCAAGGAATAGAATAAACATACTGGCCCAAGTTACACAATCCCTGTGGAATGCATCTGTGGAGAATCCACAGTGCCTTCCTTTCTGCCCTCCTGTGGAAGCAGCATAATGGCTTTGGAACTACCCCAGAATCCATGGCCTCTTCTGGGGTTTTTGGATGGTTTCAAAGCCCGGCACCTTGGGTTGAGATGACACAGGAAGGGCAATGAGGCGAATCACATGCCACACAACTGGCACGCTGGGGGTGGGGGTGAAAAGAAGCTACCATAGCTTTTTCCCTTCCTGTGATCTAGCAAAGCCAGTAATTAAAGAAACAGAGCAGCAGCAAAACCCAACGTCGTGGCTGGAAAGATTTGGCTATTATTCTGGAGAAAACTCATTAATGTACCCAGCCCCCACCCTGGGAGCAAAAGGGTTCAACTCACCAGGAGCAGCACTACCAGCTGCTGCCCCTCCACCAGCAGGGGCTGAAGCAGCTGGCGCACCACCACCGACGCCTACATTACAGATGAGACTTCCAATGTCAATGTTGGCCAAAGCCTAGTGATGTTAAAGAGATCAGTATTAGAAAATTTTGGCATAAGTATTTGAGAAGCACACATTGTTTTGCAGTGCTCATGTGTTCCCATGCCTAAATACAGAACACCCCAGATGCCAATGCTTGCTACACATACAAGAAAAGACAAATTGCCCAACCTTAACTCGGTCACTTCCACTTTTTTCATATTTAAAAACTGCTAAAATACTCAACTGTACAACATTCAGCCACATGAGCTACTGCATCATAGTAACCCATTCACCTCTCTGCTATTAGCAGCCTACAAATAAAATCCCCTTTCAGACGACATCCTAACAGATCTTACCTTTGCAAACAGACCAGGCCAGAAAGGTTCAACGTTAACCCCAGCTGCTTTGATAAGGGCATTGATTTTGTCCTCCTAAAAAAACACATAACAAATGCTCTTAAATTAATTTTGCACCACATCTCACTCTCCATGCAAAGTACTGTTAAATTTATCTTGCACATCAAATCAAAGGCATTATTCAAGTTCTGCTAGGAACATATTCCAGGAGAACAGGAATTCATAATAAGAAACCTCATAGGAATCAAGCAGACAGGTAAAGGAAACACGGAACACTTCCATCTAACTTACACAAAAGTATTAATTTCCTGTAAGGGGCTGGTAGAGGGATCAAGTTCTTTGATAAACTTTTACCACCCTATCACCATATGAGCCAAAAGACAAAACATCCCCTAGGCTAAAAACTTACTCAAAATAACTTTAAATGCTGCTGTACTGTTTACAGGCACAACGCTCAATTCACTTGCCAAAAACAAGCACACATGCGCACCCCCCCCCCGACAATTGTGAAGAGAAAGCATTTCTTTGGGCCAATTCCCCTAGGTCCTAGCACAGAACATCCTTCCTGACATAAATTAACCCTCATCAAGTAAGCCTATCCCCAAATGCAATTTGTATTGCAGAATTTATACAGAGACAGATTATACTGTTGTGTTCTGTGACTTGTAGAATGCCCTCAAATTTCAGTCACCTTCCACTTAGTTCTAAGGTGTAACATTATCCCAATGGCTTGTCCAATTGGTTTACAAAGTTAAATATTCTAGGTGTCAGCAGATCAGGATCTTCATTGGAGAATATAGAATAAATTTATAGGCAAAAATATGCCACAGTGTATTACTGAAGCATCGCCTCTTAGTAACTACTTTGCTAATAGTTTATGCATTTTTGGCACCACAAACGTGCTAATTTGTAGGGCATGCTACTCCCCTTTACCATCTCATCTTTTAAAACATGCAAAAATAAAAATATTAGCTGTTAATTCAGAGCTAGTAATACTAATTTAACAAGCATGACCCAACATTACAGAAAAAAGCTCTACCGTTCTAAGTCTGCCAACCAGCACGGCTAAAACCAAAGCGAAGACTTCTTCACACAGCGTGCAGCCCTACTATGGGAGTCACGTGCACGAGCTACAGGGCCTTAATCCGAGACTGGACACAGGCGTGGAGATCACCCGCGACTAGTTGCTAGTTGTGATGGCCACTCGCCACGGCGTGGGCCTCGGCATCCCAGCTGCGGGGGAGCATGGGCAGGAGGCGCCTGCTGCACGAGTGTCGTGCTGGCGGGCTTCCCTTGGGCCCCTGCCTGCCATCTGGCCCTCCCGTTCGCAGCACCCGCCAACCAACGCGGGTCTCGGAGGCCCGCTGGCACTGCAGGACGCCCCCCGCCTGGCGCACGGGCAGGCGCCCAAGCACAGGCAGCGCCCGGGACCGCGCCTCTCCAGGACACGCGTGCTCCGCTCCGCTCGCGAGGCGCGGGCCGGCGGGGAAGGCGAGAGCGGCGCCACGAGGCCTTCCCGTCCCGCCTTCTCACCCACCGTGACGGTGACTTCGTCGTCGTGCAGGATGAGGGCGGAGTAGATGCAGGCGAGCTCGGAGACGGAGGCCATGTCGGGGCGGTGCGCGGTGCTAGTCGCCGGCTGGACTCGGCCTTAGCTTCCACGGAAGGACAGAACACCTTGCGCGCCACTGAGGGAGAATGGAAAAGGACGCGTGCGGCCGCCTGGCCAGACTTATATGACATTCTCAGCCAATCATCGACCGCCTCAGCAGGAACGTCATCCATGGCAGAAGCGTGGGCCAGTAGCGTTAGGGTGGAGGCAGACACCACCAGGGGGCCATAATCGCGCGAGACCCGAAGAAGCCAATTAGAGGGAGGAAAACTAGCGGATGAAGCAAGGTCGAGTGCAGTCGAGGCGATCTGCATCAATCCGTGGAGGCGATGTTGCTCCTCGAACGGAAGCCCGGTGACGTTAGACCATAGAAATGCAACGGCCCCAATTATAGCCACATAGAGATAGAAATTAGAGGCTCCCTCTATCCGTGCTTGCGGCCTAACATTGGATTTACGGTCCATCATCGGGCACCAAGGGATCCTGATGTCCAGTAACCAGAGATAAAAATTAGAGTAACCCGTCCCACAATCTGATGCGGAAGTTTCCGGGGTTCGGCTGGCAGCCTCCTTGAAACGCATGGCTGATGATGGGATGAGAGAGCGTCCTGCAGTAACCAGTGGAGAAATGCGGAGTTGTCCCGTAGATGTGAATCCCGGCCCTGGCAGCGAGACCGACCCCAACTGGCTGGGGCATGCTGGGTTTGCAGGCCCCTACATTTAAATTGGCGCGCGCGCGCGCGTCGAGGGAGGGGTGTCAGTCAGTGTGGCCGCGATATTACCCGAATGAAAACGCCCTGACCCCTCCAAGCGGGCGCCACTATGGGCCCCCGCCGGCCTCTTCCCTCACCTAAGATGGCGGCGGGTAAAAGGAGGCGAGCCTGGCCGCCTGCACCCCGCCACTTCCGGCGCGCCGCCGCTCGTGCCGGGCCTGATGCGCATGTCACGCGAAGTCTGGAGTCGCTGTTGCTGTTGCGTTACTAGGCGGCAGCCAATCGCGGAGGAGAAGCGGAGCGGGTGGGAGCTTCAAGCAGATATAAGCAGCTGCCGGGGTTGGCTCGCGCCCGAAGGGGGTGAGGAGCGGGGGGGGGGGGGAGGCTTGTGTGGGGTTGCCTCGATTTGTTACGTACTCTGTTGGGAGTGGGAAATGCAAAGGAAGAAAGGGGGGCAGTTGAAGTAGGCTTTTAACCCTCCGAATGGGGGGCATGCCCCGAAAGGTGACTAGAAATTTCTTCGCGAGCAAAACTAGCAGAAGTTCTTGGCTCTTCAGGGAAAGAGTCCTTTGCAAAATGACCCGGGTACATACTGTCCTTTCGATCTCTATGGGGATGGGATCCCTGCTTCGCCTCGCAAGGGATGCATCAAATCCCAGGGTATGTTCTGCCAGTACACCCTCTGTTTCTTAGGGAGAGCAGTGCTCTGCAGAGGCACAATCCAGGCAGGAGCACTGCACGAGCCCCACTGAAATGAACGGGGAGCATGCGAATACTTCCCATTCGATTAGTCTGCTCTAGCCTAGCAGCTTCCAGACGCCAGGTCGCAAATCCCATCATACCCAGCTGGTATAACGACCTCACCCATCTGGAAGGTGCCAGGTTGGAGAAGTCTAAACTGGGTCATGTATCCTTTTCCCTTCCTGCTGCTGTTTCTGAAAAAGGCTTTCCATCTGTGCAGCTTTACAGTAAGAAGCACCTGCAACTGGTGCCCATGTGGGCAGTAGCTTTTTGGAACTTGAACCAGACTCAACTAACAGTACTTAAATTCTTGAGAGAGTTTTCTTTTGCAATTGTAAAGGTCAAATATACCAAGTGAACACCTGCCTTTTCGGGAAATAGCACTACTGACAATTGGGAGGTGATGTTGTGCAGTGGGACTATCGCTCTCTCCACGTGTTTTTGCTCTCTCAGGCTACCAAGGGAGGGGAGCACTGAGAACCCCCTTCATCTCCTGTTCTGAGGAACCAAAGTCTCGCTGGCTCCCTCTTTCTGGCTTGCAAGGATGTGGGGGCTTCTTACCTCCCCCTCTGCCAGGAGCTGCTGCTCTGAGTGAACCCTAAGCAGCTACTGTGAAGGTTTCTGCCATGCATCGACATATGAGCCTGGCAGAGCAGCAGAAGTTGTGCCTCATGTGTTGGCCACACCTCCTGGGCAATAAGTGATGGTATCAGTCTGTAAGGTGAGTATGCATGAATATGTGAGTAGCCCTTTAATTAGGACTGAACCCTGACTGGGTTGCATCCCTGTGGAGGAAGCCCTGAGTGTGTTTACCCATTTAACTGACAACCAATACATTTGCAGGGCTGGGGACCTGGCAGGCACACATGCCAGGTTTTAGGGGGCAGAGTTAGATGATGTGTTCTTGGAAGCAGTGGAACCAAGAAACAGTCTTGTGATGTTGAAAGAATATATGTGGTTTTATTTTGAGAAGCTGCATGCATTCCAGCCCTAGCTGTGGGTCTTCTTCATTGGTCAGTTATTGTCGTCATTATTATGAATATCTACACTGCCCATGAAACTCAAGTACTTGGCCACCTAATGAGAAGGACTCCCTGGAGAAGAGCCTAATGCTGGGAACAATAGATGGCAAAAGAAGGGACGGCAGAGAATGAGGTGGCTGGATGGAGTCACACCTGGAGGAATGTTGTCCATGGGGTCGCGATGGGTTGGACACGATTTCTCAACTAACAACATTGCCCATTAGCTGAAGCTCTCTCATATAAAAATGCCTGCAGAAACCTCTGAAAAAGTATTCTAGACGGGTGTCAGTGTTTTACATTACAGGTATGCTAGACAAAACACAAATGTCCTGCAGTCTGTTAAATAACCATTTGCATTTGCTTCACCAACCCATAATCTGACAGGCTGTGTGCTGGTGCCAGTGTGGTTACCATGGTTATGGATGAAGACTGCGAGATCCAAATTCATGACCTCAGTCATGATGTTCACGGGATTACTTTCATTGACTCTCTGCCTTACTTTACATGGTTGTTGCAAGACAATGCAGAGGAGCAGGGGAATATACTGCAGCTTTGAGTCCTTGTGGGATGTCAATGTGGCTTATAATTATACATTGGACCAGTCACTCACTCTCCACTTAACCGAACAGGGTAAGGTTGTAAGGAGAAAAATGGATAACTAGCTAAGCTACTTTCAGTTCCTCACAAGAGGAAGAAATGTCAGGATATAAATGAGATGGTGGTGGTGATGTAAATTTAATACGCATATGGAAACCCTTTGGAGAGGGGCTGGATTTAGAATAACAATACTGTAAATTCCCATAAAACACATGTATCAAATAAGCCAGTTAATACCCAAATAAGTCAGTTAATAGTGACTTCTTTTTTAAACGGTGAGACTGATTGCCTGTACTGTTTCGCCCATAAAAAGTTTTATAGGGCCGTCTACCTTTCATCTTCCCAACAACCCTGTGCAGTAGGTGAGGCTGAGTCCAGTGACCCAGTGAGCTTCGCAGCCAAGCAGGGAGGTCCCGGCCAGGATGCCACCCAGGAGCCCCAGTGCCTCCCATCTCAGGGAAGCAGAGGGGCAATATGGCAGGTGCGTAGCCCGCCCCGGCTGTGTCCTGGCCCGCAGGAGGGCAGGCACCGGACAGGGCCGCCAGCCCGCGAGAGGGGAAGCGAGGCACGGCCTGGCCCTGCGCTGGCCCAGCCGGCCCCTGGACTGCCAGGCAGTACCGCAGGGCCAGGCGGGAGGCCAAGCAAGGGCGGGCAGCTCGGCGCACGGGGCGTCCTTCGCCCTGCGCTGCCGGGAAGGGACGCGTCTGCCCGCTTTCCCTCGCGGGCACCGCGCTCCCCATCCTTGGGCATTCCCGGCAAACGCCCGCTCTCGCGGCGAGGGCGAGGGCGACGCCAGGCAAGGCGGCGTCGGGGAACGTGAGCACGCTCCGCTCTTTGTTCGCGCCGCAGCGGGTGCGGGAAAGCGCGACGCCGAGCTCGGGCTCCCACGCCGGTCTGTCCCCCCGCCGCGGGCCCGGGCCCGGGCCCGGGATGCGACCGGCGGGCCCGGGCCGTCCGAAGCGAGGGCCGCGCTGGGGCTGACCCGCGAGGCAGCTGAGGCGCCAGCGAAGGCGAGGGCCGGGCCGCCGAGAGCCGGCGCCGGGCGAGGCGGAGCGTCCCGCGCGCCGCCGCCCCTTCC